TTGTGTGTGTGTCTGTTTAGTCTCAGTCCTACTGTCACTGGGCTGCAAAAGACCTCGCTAAAGATATGTTAATTGCAGTATGATGGTTCTTGGGTACAAATTTTTCTTACATCAACTTTGGGTTGGGAATATTTTTCACACACAGCGCGTGGTCGTGGGTTCGAAAGCCTAAACTCCTTGAAGTACTTTCAAATGTATGTATGTATATATAAATCACATAAGTATCCTCATATAAATCCGCTCAAAAGTAATTTAGTTGTATCAAAATACACTTCTCTTTGTCGCATCTAATCAACGTATGGCAAGAAGTGAAAGTAAAAGTATAAAAAGTAGGAGAGAAAATGAAAGACGACACGCAGGATGTGAGCGCAACAAGGTGGAAAGCTTTTCCGCCAAACGCCTGTAGCTATAAAAAAAAGTCACAGAAAGTGTACAAATGTTTTGTGACAAACAAGGAAACTTGGGAAATTTTACTCTTTCTTTCATTTGCTCTTATTTCTGTATAAATATTGACAAACATACACGTATGCACATACTTATGTTCAATTGTCTTCTTTTGAACGTTAAGTGAAATCAAAACATACTTCTCTTGCTCAGTGGCCCAGAGTAGCACCAGCTTATATTGGCTGGCTCCCAGATGGACTCTCTTCGCGGACAGCACATACTTCATATTGATCTCGATCCTACCGGATTTATTCACTTATGCTTTATCGTACATGCAGTTGCCTGGGATGTCCCTGTCCAAGTATTCAGACAATGTGGCAGTACTATATTTACTTGTGAGTTTGTTTGAGAAAGTTCCTACGTCTTATGGCCACTTTTGACATGGTGTCATTACATTGGAGAGATCTGATTGCAGCTTGACTGTCGGAATATATTGTAACCGGTTGTGCTGCTGCTGTAGATTTGTGCAACCATTCCGCGGCCTCCATGATTGCGAAAAGTTCCGCCTGAAAAACGCTACAGTCGTCTGGTAGTCTCATGCTCATATTCAATAAAAGTCTGGAAGAATAAATTCTCCAGCCCACTTCTTCATCAAGCTATGAGCCATCTGTGAAGATGACTATGGCTCCCTGATTCTCGTGGAGAAACGATTATCGAAGTACATGCAGGAGGTGGTGCCTCCTTTGGCACTTCTTCTAGAGATAATATTTTTGTGTGTCCTATACTTCAAATCTTTCAAGGTTGAGCTCATTCAGTCTGATTCCGCTTGTAGTTTCCCGTATAGGTCCAGAGGAAGGATGTTGAGAAGAGTTAACAGGGCTTTCGAGGGAGTTGATGGAAGGGACTCTGTCACCAGGATAGCAGCGGATCGATAAGATTTACCTCAGTAGAGGGGGTAAGCTCCATGCCCTTTAGTTTAGGTGGCTTAAAAGGAGTGGGTTTGTGCCTTCTGGTAAAAAGAACCATTTCGGTTTTATGTGAGTTTGTAACCATAAAAGTACTCATCTTTCTGATTGACCAACTTCTAAAGCTCTTTTCGGACGAACAAATTTTCCCTGTTGTTACCGTTTTTGTTATTTTTGTAACCTCAAAAGTATTTACCAAAGTGATTTTAGATAACATGGCGAGCGTGACAGCCGTTCCGATCGACTGTCGGGAAAACTTATTGCTTTTAGTCGCCTCTTGCGGCAGGCGTGCCTTTGCAAGGATAATAAATAATTGAGCCCCTAACCCGCAGGTATAAAGAATCTGCCACTTTTTCTCGCCGGTGCAGAGAGAACAGAAAAAAAACCGCAACGTTACACATTGCCGCTTGGGAACAGAAGTGCGAGGTGAGTTGAAAAATGTACCCTAGAGCAAATCGAATCGCAAACATTTTTGTAATTCATCTTAGGCTTTTCTCGGATGAAGCCAATTATCCGCCTTTCTATTCCCTTTGTGTATCTTCACTTATGAGCGTGTGACGGTGTAACTCATCGTGTAGGGTCTCTGATTAATCTTATTGGAGCCATATACAATATATTTTTTCTGTCGGCACTCTGGGAGGAGAAAATCGAACGGAGAGCAGAAGTGTAAGTTCAGTAAGTAAGCAGTTTTTTGGCGTCGAGCTCTACTTACTCACAAGAAGTTACTTGATATGATTTCCAGTCTTTCGCCGCAGAGCACCAAGTAGCCCACTGCGATACATACATTGGTTAATTTATTTATATTTCAAATCTCGGAAAAGACATGCCAGCCTCGGTCCCAAAGCCAATGTTTCGAACGTGATGGCTGAATTTTCCGATCGTTACCTTCCTTCAACAGCTTTATGGGGAGATCTTCAAGAGGTGTTTTCGATATTTTGAAGCTCTTGACTTTTTTTTCTCATTTATGATGTTCAAACGGCAGATCAACTTTTTTAAATTCATGTCGGAAATCCACTGGGAGAGGTTGGCACTACTGCTCGAAGAGCGAACGCGTTGTATGCGAACGGCTGTCCATGATTCGAGCTCATGGTATGTAACGGCACGTTTGATCCTTTGGCTCTACAAATCTACTTATTCGGCAACATTAAATATGAAAATTATTTTCAGTCACTTCGGCTTACCGTCCGATTTTGAAGAATAGTAATTTAAACACTTTTACTCACCACACTTTATCACCTACGTAGTATAAATATGGATTTGTAATATATAATATATGTGAGTATGTACTTCAATGAGTTTCATTGCTGCGGGCAAGGATATCATTTGTTAAGATACTCTTAGCCGGAAAGACATTTCTTCAATTTCTAAATAGACATTCATGTGTTGTCTACAGAATGTGTATCGCAGTGGGCAAGTGTCGGAATATTTTCATACAAACAGCCCAAAGGCATAAATGGATATCCATGGCATTGGGTGGACCAAAAGCTGCACAGCCGCAGGTTCATATCTTTTGTACAAAAAAGCTGATTATTTGGAACTTTGGTAAACATACGAATGTTCATACATATACATATGTACATATTCATACGTGTACATATTAAATTAAGAATTCCTCAGTGTTTGAATAAATATTCCTTAACCTTTACATAAACACGTAAATTTAAGGACTTTTTGCTTTAATCCTTAAGTTTTAGGTTCTTGTCATCTTATCGTGCGCGAAATGTGCATTTAATTGAATAGATAAGCAGATGTTGTTGTACCTGGGAAAAAACTTTACCTGTTTGCACATTCCATTCTCCTTCAGACGTTTGTAAATGTAGATAAGCCGCTAATGACTATTTAATACTACTTTAATCACTGAGAAACTGCCAAATGTTACGCGTTATTGACAGATTAATATTATATAATATGAGGCAGGGTGGAATGCAAGATAAAAATAAACAAAAATAAAATAAAACTAAATACAATAAATTTAAAAAAAAAGAATTAAACGTAATAAAGAAATAAAATTAAAAAAAATATTTTTTTAAATTCAAATGAAAAAAATAAAAAAACTAAATTAAATAAAGCGAAATGAAATAAAATAAAATTAAATCAAATTAAATAAAACGAATAAAAAAAAATAAAATGAAATGAAAGAAAATAAAAGAAAATTAAATAAATTAAAATAAAATGAAACAAAACAAAATAAAATAAAGAAAATTCAGTAAAATTAAACTAAATAAGTTAAAAAATTAAAATAAATAAAAATGAAATAAGATAAAATTAAAACAAATTAAAATAAAATAAATTAAATAACACAAAATAAAATAGTGTAAAATAAATTAAATAACATAAAATAAAAGAAAATAAAACTAAATAAAATAAAATAAACACAACATAATAAATTAAAATAAAGATTTAAACAAATTAAAATAAAATTAATCAAAATAAACGATGAAGAAAAATTTAAGTAAAATATATAGAATACAAAAAAATTAAAACGAATTGAAATAAAATAAAGTAACAAAAAATATAACTAAATTTAAATAAAATAAAATAAAATAAACTAATATAAACTAAAATAAAATAAAAAATTAAATAAAATAAAATAAAATTAAATTAAAAAAATTAAATATAATAAAATAAAATAAAATAAAATAAAATAAAATAAAATAAATTAAAATAAAATAAAATAATATAAAACAAAATAAAATGAAATGAAAGAAAATTATATAAAATAAAATATAATAATTTAAAATAATATATAATAAAATAAAATAATAAATAAGTTAAATAAACAAAATAAAATCAAAGGCAATAAAGAAATAAAGTTAAATGAAAAAAATAAAAATACGTAAAGAAATAAATTTAAAAAATTAAATTAAGTAAAGNATTAAACAAAATAAAATAAAGTAAAATTAAAAACAATTATATTGAATTAAATTAAATAAAATAAATTAATATAAAATGAAATAAATAAAAACGAAATAAGACAAATTAAAACAACAAAAATTAAAAAAATAATATAAAACAATTTAAATAACATAAAATAAATAAAATAAAATAAGGAAGCAAAATTAAATCAAATAAAACAAAACAAATCATAATAAATTAGAATAAAAAGAATAAGAATAAGAGTAAAATAAAATAAAAAAAAAATTTAAAAAAATTTAAAAAAAATAAAAAAATAAAAAAAATAAAAAAAAAATTAAAAAAAATTAAAAAAAAATTAAAAAAATAAATAAAAAAAAAATAAATAAAAAAAATTAAAAAAATCGAGTAAAATAAAATTAAACAAATTAAAAAAATTTAATCAAAATACAATAAAATAATACGAACGATAATAAAATAAAAAGGAAATAAAGAAGTAGGTCGGCTGTTCTATGTGCTATCTTCCAAAAAAAGATATTGATTTTGGAGCATTTTATTATGCGGCTTAATCGAGAGTTTCTATTTTAAAATATAAACAGAGGACAGCCTGTTGCAGATACCAACTGTATTCCACCCTTCCCCGGCGGTAATATTACCGTTTCGCTTAAGATTTGTGTATTTTTAATGGACGCTTAAAAATCAGCCTCTGGGCTAAATCTTTTTTGAATAATCCTTTCCCAAGTTCTGAACTCTTCTCCAAGCCCCTCGTACAAACAAAAATAAAATACTAGCTTTAATTGTACAACAAATTTATTTCGGCATTTAAAAAGCTTACAAAAAATACATACTCGTAAACAATCCATTTTTTAAACACTTTCCATTACAACAATCGCCTGTTACAAGAAAGAAATACAATTATAATGAATAAATTGAAATAAAATCTTAACTCTAAAAGTCACCTAAGGCTAAACAATATTAATTCATCTACACAGGAGGGCGCTTATTCAGCCAACGTTTTATTTGCATCAGCAGATGACGACTCTGCACTTATTGGTTCCAGAGCATGGCGGCTCTGCCACCAATCTATGGTGTAGGCGCGCAGGCTCGATAGAGCCATGACGACAGAAGCATCCACAGACTCATCAGCTGCCGCGTGTACTGAACGGCAATATTCCTCATGGGTAGCTGCACCAGCGCCACCAAACGTCTTAATGCCCTCGATATTCTGCACCAGTGACGGAAAATGCTTGCCAGCACATTCTATCAAATTCGAGAGCTGCGTGTCAGACATGGCATGATGTTGACCGCAAGAAGTCTTTTGCAGAACATTCATGAGGCGTGCAAAGTTATGTGGTGAAATGCGCGCGGAGAGGTGGGGTAGCAATCGCAAGACCAGCTGATGCATTTCAAGTGAAATATGTGCAAGATTGTGAAACTCATGGGCAAAGGCTTTAACAGAATACCAAAGATTACTTATGATGCTGATGAGACCCTCGATAATGTCGAAATGGTAGAACTCAATTGTGCTGATGACGGAACTAAGCCAAGGTAGCAGGCCGACATGGTCGATCATGATTTTCGAGGAGGCGGGAATTTTGGCGCAAGTCGAAAAAACGGAGAGTATAAGCAGGTTCATGTCCAGTGTAGACATGGCGCTGCCGTAGAAACCCTGCAGAACCTTGAAAGTGTTAGTGGTGACGAGCAGAAAGAGATCCGAGCCTGATTTTATGCCATTACGTATTACTTCGACAATAAATTGACGGAACTGCTGATGCTCAATTTCAGGCGAGTAGAAGAGCACATTGAACTCTGGCACACATTGGAAATTAAAGCTGTTCTTCAACCGCAAATACATGGTGAGCTGTTTGTAGAGCAAATGTGTCGGATCAGTTGTCAAATTAAAAGTTTTCGCCACGAAGAGACCCGAAATGTATGGCACCCGTGGTGTGCCGCTATTCCTCTTATGCTTCACCCACGCATCGCGCAGATCGCTGAGACCTGATTGTATATTGTCATATGCCTGCAGCCACAATGGCCGCTCGAAAAACTTATTCGCTTCGAAATGTGCGCGATAACGTAACTGTACACAGCCCGCCGCTAAGCGCATATCGCGATCCTGCGAAGAGAGTGCAGCAAATACCACCGACAAAAGACCATTTTGTACGGGACGCGCTGGATGTGAGTACGCTTCGGGGGCAAAACACATATTCATTAGCGGCACGAAAAATGCGGGATCATAACACTGCGCGTATACACGTGCACGCGTCGGGCATAAACGCAGCTCGGCTTCCTCGAATTTTGCGAAACCGCGTTCAATGCGACGCTCGAGCTCATTACTGCCAAAGTCTAAAGCTTTTTGTGAAGGATCACGGAAATCGATAGCGGGCAATTGCGCTGCGCTATTCAGCTTGCGCCAAATGGGAAAATTATCAATTGTGTACTCACATAAATGGCGATCAATGAGTGACATCACCTGCGCTATGGAGGTCTCTTGTTGTGTCAACTTGGCGCGCTCTTCATCAGCGGCGCGCAGTGCATAAAATGCAATAGCGCTTTCGCCCCAAATGAAAGGACGATATTTTTGCAAGCCGCAATCGTGTATTTCATAGAGTTGCAAGAGCGCCAGAGCATAACGATCAGCGTCGGAGAGTTTCGCTTGATAGGCGCCCAAAATGATGGGTATTTGCGTGTCGCTAAGTGCAGCGGGATTTTTCGACGCCAGCGTGTAGAGTAGATGGAGTACTTGCGTTTTCACTTGTGTTTCGCGTGGCGATAAGACTATATCGAAGAATTTGGAATGCGTACAAATCATATCGAAGAGTTGCGCAGGCTCTGCTAAAGGTTGTGCAGCATCCTCTGCCGTTGAATAGTCGACGTACAACTGCTGGCAGAGGTAAGCGAGTAGTTGTAGCAGTAACGCATATGTAGCATCGAACTGTGTTAGTGCGGCGTCATCGCCTGCGACATATTGCATGCCGAGCTTCAGGCTGAGCTTACAAAAATTAAGCCATTGTTGATTTTTCAAGAGCTTTGTGAAATCGGGATTGAGACTGTCAGGCACATTTGCCTCCGCTACTTGCGTCGCGCTATCCTCCTCCAGCTCTTCCTCTGCTGCAGCCTTCTTTTTGCTTGCACCTTTCTTGGATGGTATCACAGGCGCTCTGACGCTCTCTTCGCTCAACAACAGTTGCCACCAGTTCTGCAGCAGGTAAGCGCTTAATTCCAGCTTTTCCGCATCTACTTGCTGTTTCTTCAACTCAATACTCAGCAGTTGTATTTGCAGATTAATGAAGTTCACAAATATGATCTCCCGCTGTTGCTTGCTGCTGCCGACCTCCTCGGCGTTGCCGAAAGCTTTTCTATAAATCGCATGTATAACGCGCAACTGATACACTTCCAAGCCGTCGAATTTGAATGTTTTATTGCAAAAATCAACACACTCCGAACGTGGCATGCAGTGTTCAATCAGCGCAATGGATGTGCCTGCATGCTCCTTGTAGATAACGCCCGCTTTTTGCGGTTTCTCAATAGTTTTCATGAAACCGCTTTTGAACGCGTGATAAACGCTTTGCAAGAGCGACGCGTTTAGCGCCACACGCTTGCGGAACGCAATATCTAGGAGTGGATAGATGAGTTCCTTTTTGTTGATATGCGCCGGCAGCAGTTGTACAAATTCCGCTTCCAGTTGAGTATCGCGTTCGAGCAATAAGCAGGCCAATTTGATAGTGGGTTTGGTGAGGCGACGCTCAACGAAGAAGGCGCCAAAGAATTTAACACCCAACTGCGGTATATACTGATGTGAACAAATGAGAAAATCGTGTAGCACTTCCTCCAGCTGCTCGAAGCTCATCTCTGTGCCGTACATTTTCACCAAGCTGACATAGAGTTTGGCAAATTTGCGTATCAAATTATCGAATTGCACCGCCTCCCGCAACGACGCCAAACGCTGCAGCGCGCAAACCAACAACTCATAGTAGATGCTCTTCTGTTGCGTTTCTGTCAGCACGAAGTCAGCGCACTTCAGTTGTGCGACGAGCAAGTCAAGCACTTCAATGCACTCGGACGTGTTTAGCTGAAGGGCGCGTAGTAGGCGCACGGCATCCACTAACTGCTCGCTTGCCGCTTTAGTATCCGCTGCCGCTTGTATAGAAATGGCAATGGCTTTAATTACCTTTAGGCGACAATTCGTTGCATGCGTTGCAAAATAGGCGTGCCCATTGCAACGCTCCGCCAGCAAACGCAGAAAGTAGAGATAACTCAGCTGCGTTGCATTGTTGGCGCTAAACAACTCCGTGCTTTGTATGCGCGTTAAACGCAAGTTAAATATGTATTTAAATAGATCGTCTAGGAAATTGTAGTCCCGATCATCACATACAGCGCCGTTATCAGCACGTTCTTCTGCGTACAACGCGCTTAAGACTTCAATGCAGTCGCCTAGGAAATTAGCAGCCGCCTCAGCTTGTTTGTTTGTCAAACGTTGCTTCTCCACCAACTGTGCTACCACGAAGAGCGCCTGTTGCATATAGATCATCAGCAAGCGCTCGCGTTTCAGCTCAGCGCTTAAAGCAATCTCCTCACCGCGTAGTGTCACCTCAAGTACCTCGGTTTTGCTTTTGGTTTTAGCAAACATTTTCGCTAATTTTACATCGCCCTGAACCATTGCGTCGTGTAGTTGTGCTAATGTTGTCAATTCTGCTGGCAGCTGAACGCTGGCCAGCGATACTTCTTCAGCGCTTGACGCCAACCAGCTCTGCATATAATTTTCAAGCATTTTAAATTCGCGTTTATACAGTTGAAGCACCTGCTCGGGGTTTGGATAATAATGGTAGAGCAGTAGACAAACAGTTTCCAGGTATTTATCTAGTGGCTTAATGATTTCTACACCCTTAAAAATGAGAGGCATCAGCTTGCTTATAGAAACACTCTCCACATAAGCCTGCACAGAGAGCCCGCTTTCAATGTTCGCAAAGAGTTTTTGCAAATTTTGTTCATTCAATAGAGTTTCCGTTGTTTTTGGCATCTCTACATCGACTTTCGTCACCTGTAATGTAGAAAAATATATGAATTTGTTACTATTTTATAGTTGAAGAATATAGTTAGTCAGATACGCACTTGCAGCGCTGCTATGAAGACTTGCGTCACCACATCCACAGTTTCCGCGTCAAAGAAACGTAATGCTTCCAACCACAAATCCACCTCCCAAACGCCGCCATCAAAAAGACCGGTATTCAAAAACATTTTACGTAGCAAATGCCCGGCCTCAAGCCGTACCTCACCTGTGCCATACATGAAAGCTTTAATGAAAGACTTCAAAACGCTACTAAATAGTTGTTCAGTTGGCTCCAAAGCTTTTGGCAGCAACAACAATATGATTTTAATCGCCTTCAACTCCAATTTAATATTACTCGTTGCTGCACCAATATCACCTGACTCATCGCCAGCATAAAGCGGACGCAGCAAATCCAAATAATCTAAAATCGTGCCAGTTTTATTGACGAAAGAACGATGCTCCTTCCAAATCACCAATAACAAGTCCAATGTCACATCCAAATGGTCCAACACCTTCACCTCCACGGTGTTGCGATCTTTTATAGAATAATAAAGTGAGACAAGTATATCCTCTACAGTGGGGAAATTCACTAGAATATGATTTAAAATGTCCAAACGAAAGCGACGTAAGGAATTCAAATTTCCACGCGCCTCCTCACGTTTCGTTATCGCTCTCATGTAGGCCGAATATTGCGAGAACATGGCATAGAGCAAACGGTTGCCCGCTAGACGATAATCAAAATTTTTGTGACCAACAATTTTAGCGCCCGTCAATAGCGCCAGCGTTTCAATGGGCAAACAAACATCTTTGATGAGGTAAGTACAATCAGTGAGCGTGATTTTATCCAAAGCAGCACGTAACAATCTTGGTTGCAAAGTGTTGATTATTTTGGTGAGAAATTCACATGCCAGCGGCCAATCACGACTTGCAGTACGCATGGGATTTATAATACCAGCAAAATTGCGTACAGTATGTCGCGCTAGATCAGGGCAGGCATTGAGCACGCGTATAACCAATTCTGTTTTGCGTTCATTACACCAAGGCTTAAAGAGCAGACCGAGCAGTTTACCTAAAGCGGAAAAATTCAATAATATAAATTGAATATAGTGAATGTAATTTTCTTACCTTGTATGGCATTATGTTTTTGTCTGTAATTTGTTACCGCATCGAAGCATATGCCATATTTTCGCGATGTTAACAGCAATAGCATAAATTCATGCACTACCTTTGCCACTGCATCACGCTCTTCCTCATTAACCAAACGCTCCAGCTCGTCTCTCGGTAAATGAGTATATTGTCCTTGTTTGCCTGCACATTTGGTGGCGTACACTTGTGGACCCAACCAATCATAGAGACGTAAAAAGTGTTTACAACAATCAAAATCAAACACATGGATTTTCTTAGTTTTCGAAATTTCCACACATTCCAGCACATATTTGCGCAACGTGCTCATGACGACACAAACTGTGACATGATCATCATACTGTAGGCCAGAAGCTAGTGCGCGTATTAATGCGCCACGATCGAGTATGTTACGTATGAGCAGCGTATTACCGTCAATCAGATAGGCGAGCACAAAGTGTATGAAACATTTACGTACTGTTTCTGTTTCTTTCAACTCTTTTGGCGAATGTGAAAGCATATTTTCAATAGTTCTTACATTGGACAATACATCATACGACGCGAGCAGTTGACGCCCTAATTGTGGGTCAACACACACGATGGCGGTTAGCAGTTTGAGAGCTGTGCGTCGATGTTGCAGATGTGCGGATTTTAGCAGTTCATCGATTACGTTGCCATGTGATTTTAGAAAGTAGCGTGAAGCATAAACAGCTGATTCCATGTGATCTTTTTGATTGGAAACAATTTCCATCAATACTAATTGCAATGCCTGACAGAGGTAGCCGACATGTAGTATATTGGTCTTATCGACGCGTTCCAGCGCTTCAGCCAATTCGAGCGGTTTGCCGCGTTTCTCAATATACTTGGCCACCAATTTGGGGCGTGTTTGTACGATGTGCAGGAAATGGCGAAGTTCTAAAAGCAAATAATATGAAAATTTCGATATTTTGTAGATATTGCAGTGGTTCGCATGTGTTTAAACGTACCTGTTATAAAATTATTACTGCGCAATTTTGTGCGAAAGTGCAGCATTTTAAAGTCTTTTGAAAACTTTATTTCCTTCTCCTCATAACCGGAATCATGTTCTTGCAATGCATCCACTTGTTTGGCACTTTCTGTATCATCCAGTTCTTCTTCTTCCTCATCATCATCGTGCTTATCAGCTGCGTCTTTTGCCAATTCATTTTCCTCAACATACTCCGGTACCTTAACGGCATTCTGTGGTTTCTTCTTTTTCTTTTTATCCTCCTTGGGCTGTTTCACTTTTTTAGCAATTTTTTTAGGCACTGCAACTTCACCGTCGTCCGGAGCCTCATCGCCAACTGATTGCGTGCTTTGATGTTTACGTTTTCTTCTATTCTTCGCCTCTATGGCCATTTTTTGGTAATTTTTATGTGAAATTTACGACTGATTTTTTATTGATTGCACTAATCGTACAGCGGTATTTAAAATTTACTGTTTTTCACTTAATTTAAAGAAATATAAAAAAGTGTGCAACTGAATTCGCACGTGTGCACTAATTTGACGTCTTCTGTTGAATATTCTTTTTTTATTGCTGTTTTCTTGTGTTTTTAAGGCAGCTGGTGAACAGCTGATTTTGACAGCGTTTAGCGTCGTTTCGAGACTCGAAATATTTAATTCTCATTAACCCTTTTGTGGGTTTAAATTCATCCATTGTTGTTCTTTGGTGAAACATTCCAAATTTCCAATTAACGACTCATTCTATGATGCTATGTTTGATCAATAATATTTTAGCTTTCTGTCATTGCATTTACAAAAGGTTATAAAAAATTCCCTATATTTATTAGTATATAATAAATTTTAATACATATACAATATGTGAATCAATATACAAAATTTTACAATTAACAAGTATGAGACTATACGTTTCTAGTTAATTATCCACCCGTAAGCCCTGCCATGTAAATATTTAAAACATCTGGATTTGCGTGCACAAATTTTCTTCGCTTTGGTATTGGTTGTATGTTGGGCAAACGTGTGCCATTCAAAGCATTTGGACTTGGCACAAACTCATCGTCATCATCATTAGTGTCGACATCTGCATCATTATCGGCCACAATGTGACGCGTTCGTCGTTTATCCTTTTGCAATTTGCGTTTCAATTTAGATGCGGCCGCCGCACTTGTGGACGGTCCTTCGTCAAGTGTTGATTGTGAGGTAGTAAATTGTTCTTGACTTAAGCCAGCTGTCGTAGCAGTTGTCGTTGTGGTTGTACTCTTCTTTCCCGCATGTAGAACACGTAATTTCCGATTTGTTACTGTCTCATCAATATCTGTTATTGAGGAAGACAATTCTAAGCTCCTTTTCTGTTGTTTCGCTATTCCTGCTCGCCTCATTTTCTCCATATAAAGTTTCTTTATTTCTTGTGCGCATTTTTCACACACTGGTTCTTCACCGCGAAAATCCTTGCGGCGGTGTCTTATAAACTCTATTAGTTTGGGATTCTTAATGATCGTACTCGGTTCGGTAAGCTTGTGATTATCATCGGCTACACCACATTTTATTCCACGTATTCTCACCATTTGATTTCGTGATTATATACGAATAAATCATTAAAAAATACAATCAATTTCAAAATACACTTTTAATTGGGATTTTGTTATAGATATCCGTAATGTACAACAGACATCGATTATTATGTCGATAAGTAAACAATGCTTTAGGGTTGCCAAATTGTGTTTTTTTAATAGAGCTGAAGCTCTTAAAACTCTCTAGATGCATCAAAGAACGTATATGAATTTGCACAAATACCGTATGAGTCTTATCGCTTCTTATTCATATACGTTCTTTGGTGCAAATTCATATACCTTCTTTGATTGGACCTTCAATTTACCCTCTTTCTGGAAAAGCCATTTAACGAGACCGTCATGCCGCTTCTTATTCATATACGTTCTTTGCAATTAACGAGACTGTCATGCCGCTTCTTATTCATATACGTTCTCTGCTGGAGTAAACAGTGAAGACAAAGAAACTTTGCTGGCGACTTAAAAAGCAATTGGCCGGCGGGTCGTAAAATATGCTGCACCGATCTGGGCACTGGGGACGAACGAGACGCAGATGAGAAAGCTGCAGGCTTGCCAAAATATCGCCCTCAGGACCTCGGCAGCAGCATCACTTACACTGTGAAGCACCTATGCTAAGAGTTAAGGAGCATAATGCTTTGCTGTCCAAGCAATCCCTATCGTGATGCTACCGTTGGGACCTAAAAGTCCTACATCCCGGCCATAAAAGCGATATAACAAGAATTTCGACTTCTGGGTCCTAACAACTAAGAATATTCTATTCAAATTAAAGTCCGTTGTCATTCTTTCATTTTGCTTTTTAATTTATGTTCTTTTTTTCTTTTTTTTTCAATAAGATAATATCATGTTCATTTACATTTTCATGTCCATGTTTACGTTGGTTGTGTTGTTCTTCTTGTAGATCTTTTATACTTTGCTGTTCTGTTAATATTTCTTTTTATTTATTTTATTTTATATTTAATTTATTCATATTTTTCATCAGATGGTTTGTATGTATGTATCTGCTCGGAGTGCTGCTTGTGGTTGCCAAGGTGCATTTAACTTACTTACGCCGACATACAACAACACTCTGCTTGATTTAAAATAGATTTTGCAAATACTTGTAATAATAATATTAGTTGTAGTTGTAGTTGTTATTGTTGCTGCGGTTGTTTATGCTTAAGTTGCAGTTTCTGTTGAGGATGTATCAATAACTTAAATAATAATCTCAATCTCAAACGTTACGTCGCATCAGGTGGCTGACGCTCATAGATGCGGGATGTTGTCAGGCATCACCAGCGCCGCCAACAGACACACCAACTCCACCGCTACCCGGTGCGCCCGGTCCATTTTTCGGTGTATACACAGATGCATTCGGATCGAGGTTGGAGCCGCTATTAACACCACCCCCTGGCGAAGACGCCGATATAAATACCGGCGTACCTAATGATACCGGCACTTGCTGTTGTTGTTGTTGCTGCTGCTGCTGCTGCTGTTGGTGTTGTTGCAGTTGCTGATGCTGTTGCTGGAGTTGTTGTTGATGATGCTGCTGCTGCTGTTGCTGTTGATGATGCAGTTGCTGTTGCTGATGTTGTTGTTGTTGCTGCTGCTGCTGTTGCTGCTGTTGATGTTGATGAAGCTGTTGCTGATGCTGTTGATGGTGGTGCTGTTGTTGCTGCTGATGCTGGTGCGTATGTGAATGAGAATGTTGCAACTGATGTTGATGTTGCTGATGCTGGTGCTGATGTTGAGCCGTCACATAATCGGGCGGCGCTTGCTGTACACCATAATCGGCGACGGAATTCGGTGGACCGACGCGTCCCGACAACGGATGTCCAGCTACTGCTGCCACAGCCGCCGCCGCTGCAACTTGTTGCGCCGCTGCTGCCGCACTAAGACTGCTGAGCATAGGCGAGGCGGGTCCGGGTCCAGTTTGTAATGGTGGCGTATCATTCATGCGTAACATCGAACTTCCGCTAGCCGAACCACAGGCAGGTAGCAGTTGATCTGTCGGCATGACGCAAAGTAGTTGAGCGATTTTCGCCTTCAAATCAAGCACTTCGTCCTCCTTGGCGCGACGACGATCTAGAAAATAAGATAAACGGCTTTGTGCACCCAAGAAAAATAAATGCATACTTCCATATTGTACTCACTTTCCGATATCTCCAGTTGTCGCTTTGCGTCACCCAGAGCTGAGAATAAGTCCAGCTTAACTCTCGTCTCGGCCGAAAGGTTCTTCTCCAGCGTACAGTTTTTATCCTGCATCGCGGCCAATGCGTTCATCAGCATCTCAGCGCCGGGTTGCGTCGAGTCACGGTTACGCACCTCAGTCTCGAATCTGTGTAACTGAGAGTAAAAAAGTAAAAAAAAAAAAACAAATTAAGTACATTTTTTTTAAAGTCTACTACTTTTACTTTTCCCCCTCTTATTCCCACCTCTTGCTTTAATTCATGCGATTGCTGTTCGACCAACTGTTTCGCCTCTTCAGTTGATTTCACATCACGCCGCAGCTGTTTGATTTCCTCATCCATTTGCTGTTTACGTTGCTTACACTGCGCACTACATTCCGGCCGAGCGGCCTTCTCTTCGGCAATTTTGCGGGCTTTCTTCTCATTATTCAATTGTGCGTCCAACGATTGCTTTTGTCGACGCTCCTCTGCCAAACGTCGCTCAATCGTCTGTAGTTGCAACATATCCGCATGCCGGCCATTCATTAGCTCTTGCACGCGCTTCTCCAGCTCGTCACACTCCTTCTGTTTGGCCTGCAAACAGGATTTGGTAGTCAAATTCGATTCGAGCTTCTGACGCAAATCATTCTCGATTTGTTTCATCTGACTCAACTCAAGGCGATGCCTTTTAATGTCCGCCTCCAATTTGAGGCAAGTTTCACAGATTTTTGAGACCACTTTCGAGGCTATTTGCGAGATGGTGGACGAGACTGATGTAGAGGCGCCCGATGATGCTGAAGATGATGATGCAGAACTGCCGGTTGAGGTGGATGAAGATACTGAGGATGTATCAGAGTTGTTATTGTTGCTGTTGCTGTTGTTGTTGTTAGCAGCGGCGCTATGATGGTTTTGTGTGTTAGCGTTAACATCTTTGTTGTTGTTGTTGTTGTTGCTGCTGCTATTATTCTGTTGCTGGTGATTGTGCGAGTGTGAGTTGGAGCTGTTGGCATTGTTACTGCTGTTGCTATTGTTGTTGTTGCTGCTGTTATTATGTGAAGAAGTATTATGATGATTGTCCTTGGAAGAGTTATCTTTGCGTGCACGATTACGACGACCTAAAAAAGTTGAAAATTCAAACATAAAAACACGACTCTCACCCATACATATACATACAAGCAAAGATAGTGAATAACAAACCTTTAGTGCGTTCGACAGGCTCTACAACAACCACATCATCGACATCATACTGCAAAACATTGCCATTCGCCGTCGGTGACGTCGTACTGCTGGTATTGTGTGCATTGGATTTTTTCGACGAGCGATGTTCATCTGCAAAAGCAAAATAGAAAGAGTTGGGGAAACGCAAATATTAGTTTCGTCCATTCAAACTTCTACAACGACTGCTCACCACTTTTATCTTTCGCCTGCTGTTGTGGCGTTGAATGCGTTGGCGCATGACAATTACTATTTGTCGCCTCATAATCGCTGCGATCTTTGCTGTTGGACACGCTGCTGTTATTATGGCTGCTGTTGTGGTCAACTGCTTGATAACTAGCATTGCTGTTGTTACTTTTATTATGTTTGGAATCTGCATCCATGACACCAATTACACTGCTAGCGCCACCGCCGCTGCTTTTATTATGCTTATTCTCTTTATCCACGCTGCGACGGTGGCTTTTGCCACCAATATGTCCATTGGAAGTGGCTAGATGGGAAGGGAAGAAAACAAAATGAAGTTAGAATTGGATTTCGGAGAAAAAAATTCAAAATATTATACAGTTATAAAAAGTTATTTTAATGTGTACTAAGTATTTACAATCAGTGCAAAATTTCTCCCAATTGGAGTGTAGCTAACTAACCCTAGGACTTAAGTTAAGCGCTTACAGTGAAAGTTCAGAAAACTTTGCTGAAAACTATGCATTTTATGTCTTTCACCATGATTTAAGGGTATTAAAGCTTTAAAAAATGCATATGGACCTGCCGATGTAGTTAAAAGTCTCTCAGTTTCGAGGCAGGCACAACTGCACTTCAAAAACCACCGTAGTGTATTTGTATTACTTATATGTCAAAATAAGTCAGATTAAGTTTTCGTAATATTTTACAAAGGATTATACGTATACATATGTATATACATGAAATTGAATTTGGAGTTAAAATTTAAAAACTAAATACATAAGCTGTGGTAATTAAATCGAAATCTTAACCTTCATTCTGCTGACTAATCAAATCTGAACATTTCTCAAAAAGAATTTGGCATATGTAACACAAGTCACAGTGTCAGCCTTAGCAGTGGCTACATTAGGAATGTTAAAGATACGATTAAATTCATGTTTACTGGTTTTCATGTACCTTTAACGTCAGTTATGACTCTCTAACGACGGAAAATTTAAGAACACTAGTGCATTTCAATGTTGTTGTCGTAGTAGCAACCGCAAAAATATTAACTAAATTTGCACTTGAGTAATATTGGTCGGATAACATATGTGAAGCTCCGATATAAAAGTCCGACTGTCGCGGGAATTATTGCATTTTAGACGCTTCTTACGACAGACATGCCTTACCACGGGTAAATTTATGAACCACTAACCCTCGGAGGTATAATGGATTTAATTCCACCCCTATTGTTTTTTGAGCACTTAAACTTTCGAAATTTCGTCCTATAGCTGTACATACTGGGCTGTGTATTCATGTGCGGTATAAAATCTACAGCCGAGCTGAGCACTCATTTCTTTAAAAATAAGCTAGAACAACAAGGAACGTAACTCTTAAGCGAATTAAATTAATAATAACCAAATGTGTATGTAGGTATATACACGCCATTTGACATTAATTAGTATAATAATCTCGTCATTCTAATTTGCAATATTTCATAAAGCAGACATAATTAAATGGCTAAGATTAACAGTAATTTAATAAGCATGTGTCTACGTGTTTCGTGTATAAAAAAAATATGTACATTGTTGTTTTTTGTTTTTGTTTTGTATAAATTGTTTTAACATTACCACCACTACTACCACCACTACCACCACCAAAGCCAGCATTAGCAGTCGAACTATTGCTGTTAGTTGAAGTTGTTGATGTTGTTGCTGTAGCTGTGGCTGTTGATGCAGTTGTTGTTATTGCCGCCGCAGCTATGACAGCACCACCACCGCTGCCACTACCGCCACCTGTGCTAATTTGTAAATAATTCTTATCATCAACAAGCATTGCCGACGCACCGCCACCAGTGCATGTTGCCAAACTTGCTGCTAATATGCTGCTTATATTGTAATTGCCGCCACTGCCGCTGCCACTGCCGCTTCCACTACCCAACGTACTACTAGTATTAACACTAAAACCAACACCGCCACCAACGCCTGTGCTAACACTATTATTGGTATTACTGTGGTTGTTGTTGTTGTTGTTGCTATGCTGGTGATCAGGCGACGACGTTACGGTCGTCGTTTGATTGTGATTACTAAATTGATGGTTTTGTTGCTGCTGCGACTGCTGCTGTTGCTGCTGCTGTTGTTGTTGTTGTTGATGATGATTATGATTTTGTTGTTGATGATTATGATGTTGATGAAGTTGATTTTGTGCTTGCAAACTACTGAATATACTGCTGCTACTACTACTACTGCACGTCGCTGCCGCTGCCGCCGCTGCTGCTGCTGTTGCGGCCGCTGTTGCAGCAGCTGCCGCTGATGCAAGCAAACCATTCGCCGTGGCCAGTGCACTACAAGCCACCGATGTGGTTGCACTACTAACAGCGGAACTATGCGTTGCATTAAATGCATTAATCGCCGCTGTCACTACCGACGTTGTATGTGGTGTGGAAGTTGTTGTATTTTGTGCATTTTGCGCCGCAAACGGATTAAAAACGCTACTAGCGCCATTTGCTGGACCAGCAGTTAACGCTGGCACTGCAATACTGCCGGCTAATGCAGCCGGCAATTGTGTCATCACTGAATCGTCTGTAGTTTCATCTGGTGGCAGGGCTTGTTGCAATAGTTGCATATAAAATTCATTCTCTTTTGCAACTTCTCGTTGCTTACGCAGTCGTATGTGATAGCCGATTAAGCTTTTAAAGCTAAAGCCCAGCGTGACCACTGGATAGCCAATACTGTTTTAGGGAGTCAGAGAGAGAGAGAAAGAGAGAGAGAGAGAGTGAAAGAAAGTGAAAAGCATTAAATTTGAGTTTAGAAAACAACTATTTGAGTGATGAATCATTTACCAATGCGCTGCGAAGGGCCGACACAGTTCCAAATGTGGCATATGACGTGCATCCTTCCATCTGATGCCTGCTTCTAAGTAGACAAACAGCATCCAAAGTATTATTGTAGGCAAGCATATGCCTTTGTCTGTGGGTGATAGAAAGGAATCATCAATTAATTTAATAAAAATCTAAACTTGAGTATTTTTACATCCCGGCCTCGCCAGAAGTGCCAGCCCGATGACATAGACATCTTGCAGTCTCTGCTGGTTGGCTGGGAGTATATAGTATTTTATTTTCCTTACCTGTATGCCAAACATACTGCACCCAGACGTAAGTGCTTGCTGCGAATAGCAACCAGTGCACTGGTATAAAAAATAAACACACTAAATCGGATGTTATTGCAATGCATACGAATAACACAGAAAATGCCTGAAAAAAAAATAAAAAAAACTTAGACGATTTTAGCGAAAGCATTATACCAGAACAAATAATAACGAATAACAATAGTAAATTTGTAACAATTGAAGACTTGAAATAGAAAGTAACCAGCACCGAGCGCACTGTTATCGACGGATTCCCTCTCCCAGACACTTTCATGCAGCTGTATCACCTCTCAGAAACCTAAGAACCTTTCTGAGGTCCAAACAAGGCTTAAAAAAAAAACCTCTCGAAGCAACAAAAGAGAGTCAATTAACTCCCAAAGGTTGAGTGAGCTCTTGTTATGGACATCAAATAACTCATGCGTTTATGTGTTGAGGGGTGTAGTAAAGCTTCTGAGTATGCTGTTACAGTTGCGAGGCTAAACTCAATTCCCACGCTTGTGTCCACGTCCCGCACTCGGGAAACATGAGCAACCCTTATGCAAGATGCGGTAACCAGCCCGTGTGGAGCCTCGGGTCACGGCTAATGAGACGAAGCTTCAGTGGGGCCACTCCGACTTATTCGGTTTAAGGGTCTGCTAAAGTCTAATTGCAGCGTCTGTTCACCAGAGGTACCGGCTGCGAGCTGGCGTCGGTCTGTAGCAAGCGGCTCGCTATATAAATGTGTAAAAAAAAACTTTAAACTTACTCGCCTAGCGAGGTTGTGCGCTTGTGAACCGCCACGTAGAACCAGCTCCAATGAAAAATGTAAAAACGCCTCGGATGAGATACCCCCTTTCTGTTGACGACCCCCGCAAACGAATTAAGGTTCACGATTTGAGGGTATGCACCTGGAAATGCCGCTGCCCAGCTGGTTGATGTCCTCGTAAGAATAAAGGCTGACGTCACCGCCATCCAAGAAGTGCAATGGAGACGGGACAAGGACGAAAGCGAGTAAATTCTTTAGACATTTACTACAGCGGCCATATAAAGGAGCGAGTTTGGTGTTGGATTTGTGTTGGGGGAGAGCATCAAAGCGAAATTTTTCAACATATCGCTGATTTGCGCCCAGCCTCCGATGGAAGAGAAGGACGATTTGGCCAAAGATACCTTTTATGAGCGCCTAGAGCACTTCCAAGCGCTGCCCCCGACAAGACGTGAAAATTGTGCTTGGCGACTTTAATGACAGGGTGGGCAAAGCAGGTATCTTTGGTACAACTGTTCAGCCTTCACAACGAAACATCCCCTAATGGGTTGAGGCTAATCGACTTCGCCGGAGCCCGAAATATGGTTGTGAAAAGTCGGCTCACGCACTTTTTTGAGGGCGACAAAGCGCAGTCAATGCATAAAACTTCCAGTCGCTCGTCGCATCTCGTCTGAAAACTACAGTTGAAATTAACGCATGCGTGGAAGGAATGCTGAAAATAAAGTCCATTTAATTGAGTCATTCAAAAAATATTTCAGAACCAAATCAAGTCTTCCAAATGTTTACCAATTTTCCTTTAAAACATACAAATAATTTTAGTACGTAGGTATGTTAATATACACTTACCAATCCTTTATATTTAAATGAGTCATGCACCGATCGTAAAAGTAGCCAAAAAGGCCATAAAAATTCAAAACGAAACATAAACATAAAATCGGCGGTTATCACAATGGCCCAAAGTACAAGGAATTTCAAGTACAGGACAGTTGCGCTGGAAAAAGAGACAGAAAAGTGTGGGAGTTGTTTTAGTAAGATTGCAAAAATATAATTAATGAATTCATATTTGTGACTGTTTAAAACTATATTTATGTAATACTTTGCACTAAATATTTGCAAATAAACCCAAATTAAAAAAGGGTTAGAAATATTGAGCAACTTAAAATGAACTTAACTAAACAAAATTAAAGAAATGAAAAAAAAAAAATAAATTGAATTTAAAAAAAAATAAAAAAATGTATATTATAAAAATCTAAATTAAATTAAAAATGTAAAATTAAAATGAAGTAAAAACTAAATTAGATAAAAAAATATATTTATATAAATTTAAAAACCAAAATATATTACAATAAAATAAATTAAAAAAATATATTAATTAAAAAACAAATAAAAAATTAAATAAAAAAAAAATTAAAAAAATGTATATTATAAAAATCTAAATTAAATTAAAAATGTAAAATTAAAATAAAGTAAAAACTAAATTAGATAAAAAATATATAAATCAATATATGTATGTGGATAGAATTTAAGAAAATTATATGTATGTCTAAATAAAAGTTACAAATTAAAAAAAAAAATAATAAAAAAATATATTAGAATAAAATAAATTAAAAAAATAAACTAATTAAAAAATAAAAATAAAATTAAATTAAAAAAAATTAATTAATTAAATTGAAAAAAATATATATAAAAAAACTATATGAATTAAAGCATAAATAAAAAATATATAAATGTGTATGTACAAATGAAACTTACAAATTTAATCAAATAAAATATAAATTAAATTGAACTTAAAAAATAAATTAATACAAAAACATAATAAAATTATGATATTGTAAATTAAACATAAAAAAGTATAAAAAATAATATATAAAAATAAAAACTTAAAGCAAAAAAAAATAAAAATTTAATAAATAATATATAAATAAACCAAAATTAAACTAAATTTAAAGACATATAAAATTAAACATATGAATGAAATTGAAGCATTGTACACATGCAGATTATAAGAAATTTAAAAAACTAAATAAAATGAAATAAAAATTAAATTAAGCTTAAAAAAATACAAGTAAATAAATAAAATTAAAAAAATATCTGTATAAATAAACCTAAAAAAATAAAATTCAATTCTAATTTTTTACAAATTAAATTAAAAATTTTTAAAATATTAAAATAAAGTAGTAATAAAAACTATACGCTAAATAAAATGAAATAAAATCTAAATAAGATTTTAAGTATTTATAAATAAAAATATATGAATAAAATTGAAACATTGTACATATGCAAATGTAAGAAAAAACTTAAAAAATTTAATTAAACTTAAAAAATACAAGTATATAAATAAAATTAAAGAAATATCTGTAAAATAAAACCTAAAAAAAAAAATCAATTATAATTTTTACAAATTTAATTAAAAATAAATAAAAAACTAAAATAAAATACTAATAAAAACTTTAAAAATAAAATAAAAGCTAAATAAAAGCATATAAAATATATTTATGCATGTTTATATATAAATCATATATTATATTATTAAATAAAATAAAATAAAAATAAGATTAAACTTAAAAAATGTATTATTTAAAATAACCAAGCTTAAAAAAAATTTAATTTAAAAAATATATAGAATTAAAAGAAGTGCAAATAAAATATATAAAATTTTATATTAAATAAAAAAATAAAAATGTATCAATAAATAACAAAAAATAAGAATTTATCAATAATAAATAAAAATATAAAATAAAATGAAAATAAAAAATAAAATAAAATGAAAATAAAAAAATAAAATAAAATATAAAATTGAAACTTAAATTTCAAATTAAATTAAATTTGAAGTTATAATAGAAATAAAAAAAAATTAAAATATATAAATAATAAATAATAAATAAAAATATAAATTAAAATTAAATTTAAAATAAAAAAAATTAATATTAATTAAACATAGACTGATTATTTAATAATTGTTTAAATTTTTGTCATATTCAGTTCATTATGTATTATTATTATTTTTATTAATGTATCTGTAAAGTATATTCTTCACCATTTCCGTTGTACGAAAAAAGATATGGAAATATTATTGTACTTATGCCTTGTTATTATTAAATAAATAATTAAAATAAAAAATATAAATGAAAAAAATACAAATAAAAAAAGATATATAAATAAAATTTAGAAAGTTATATGCATTAAATCTTAAAAAAAATTAAAATTTTTTTTAATGTAACAAAAATTTAAATGAAAAAAATAAAATATATAAATAAAGTTAAAAGAGAACATAAAAAATTATTAAAAAAATAATAAAGTTAAAAAATATTTATGTACATATGTACATACATACATATATTTGTATTTATATGTAAATGAAAAAAAAAACATTATAAATGGAATAAAATTTCGTCAAAATTTTTAATCTAAAACATCTAAAATTTTTTTTCAATAATTAAAAAAAAAAATTAAATAATATTACGAAGCGCTTAAACAAACACCCTTTTTCGGAGGAAAAACAATAGTAAAAAACTAACATTCATCATATTTAATTAACAATTAAGGTGTCGCACAATCACCAACCTAGTAAATCAGTAAATCACAACCGCAATCCAATTTGCTTAAGCGTCAAATACTAAAAACATATACATACATACATGCATATGTATTTACAAGTTATTTAAACCACGCACATGGTGAGCTAATAGCAAAACACGAGATGTCATTAAGAGGAGGAGGAGTGCGAACACTTTTGCTTTGACATAAACAAAAAAGCAAAATTAAAAGTAGAAAACAACAAAAAAAAAAAAAGAAAAAAAAAAAACACATATGAGTGGCACATATTATCAAATACTGCCTCCTAAATATGACCAACTGGCAATAAAACAAACAGACAAAAAATCTAAATAGATTTGTATGTAACCAAACGTATAAACCTACACATATGTACATGCTAGCCGGCTATCAGTAACAGAGAATGTCAGTCAGCTGGAGGCGCGATCATTGGTTTGCGCTGCGCTAAATCAATCAAATTCAATTAAGCGCTCTTCGCCGTCAACCACAGGCACATACATACATATGTACTTGTATGCGTATCTATGTTTGTATGTATAGTGGAATAATCAGTGAAAAACATATTCGATATTTGTTTGTTTGCAACACCACACAATTACAAAAACAAATAAAAATATATATATATGTACATATATAAATAAAAATAAATAAATAATTTTTTTGTTAAACAACAAAAATTATATCGCGTAAACAACGAAATTAAAAAAGTAAATAAAAGCAACAGCAACAATAAAAAAGCAAATAAGAAGCCAAAACAATATATGAGTTTAGTGAAGTGTTTGACTTTGTGTGTACGCTATGTGTATGACGCTGTTTGCTGCTTTAGAAGCAGCTGAATATATTTTCGAAAAACACTTTTGGGTGTTGAAAAAAAAATGGTTTTCTATGAGTCAAGATTGTGCTTTTGCTATGGTTGCCTGCTACTAGTAAAACGCCACTAACGGTTTTACTATTATTACTATTGACTTAGAACTTAGATAGTGACTAAATGAATGCCATACGGTAGCGGTTTTTTACTCAGCAAATTTTTTTCACTGTTATATAGTACAGTCGTAAAGATTCTTATCAATACCATTGTTGTTTTCATGATTGAGATGGGTTAAAATTAAGTGTTTACCAACGCGGTCATCTAAGGAAGGTAGTAAGAAGAATATGAGGCTTGAAAAGTATTGATTTGAGCGATGACTGACTCACAATTTGCTAATAAAAACACTTTTTGATTCATTATTCGTTCGCATGAATGCGTTAATAGCAAAAAAAAACTTATATTCGTTTGTTCAAAAACTTAAAAAAAAAGCTGGCATGTCCCTTAAGGGAAATTAGATCGTTTTTTTTTTACAATTAAAAAATTAAAATTTAACAAATAGCTTTTGATTACACTATTTGATTGAATGACATTAAAATGCGACTCATGCCAGTAGAAACTTCATTTACTTCACTATAGTAATTCTTGTTGAGAGGCTTCTACGGGTTAGGCGTGCAAGTATTTGCTCGCGATAAGGTACGCCTGTCGTTAGAGGCGACTGAAGTTCAATAGTTGCCGCAACAGTCGGATCTTTATACCGGTACGACCCGGAACATTCCACAAAAACTACTTTGTGGCATATTTTTGCGTTTACAACAACAAATTAGTTATATTTATATATTAAAAGTTGTCTTAGTCGATGCGTGATTCAGTTGCCCGCACTGAAAAATCAAAAATTTGCTCATATAATTATATTGCACCGCCGTGCGAGGAGAATTTTAAAGAAATCTTCAGCTTTCATTTCCCCCTCCTCAAGTCCATTTCGGTACACAGCACACACATACATACACACAGCTACGTCGTTCTTATGATGATGCTATCGCAAACGAAATATAATTATCTAAAATTTGCAAATATTTAGTACCGTTAATTTTGAAAAAAAAAAAATTAATAATATTATAATAAATAAATAAATATTTATATTTATATAAAAACACACACACACACACTCACCTGCTGTACATATTCTCTGTAATTTTATTACGTTTCATTGGTCGTCGTAATTTGCCGCAATCGGCATTGCGTCGCTTCATCTTGTGTTGTCTTAGCCGTAAGAATTCGAAATTTATAAACTTCTACTGCTAGTAACCACGTAATTTCTTTTTCAAAAAATGTAGTTTTTAAATTACTGTGTTGCTTTGCTTTTGCTTTTATATGCGTTTTATGTTAGCAACAACAACACCAATCATATAAATGTACATACACACTATTGGCTGGCACATTTGCTTATGTCGACGCCAGTTTGCGCACAAAAAACCAAAAGGGTTGATGGATGATAAATGATGCCTGCTGCTCCTGCTGCCGCTGCTGCTGCTGCTATTCTTGAATGCTCTTTTGCTGTTGCTTGCCACTACTGTTGCTTGCCGTTGCGCGTTTAATTCTAATTTGCGTGCAATGACGCGCGCCAATTGCTTCTTTTCCACTTGCGCTTGCAACGCTGTGCAGTAATGTAATTTAAAAAAAGAAAAAATTTTTTTTTGCTTCCAAAAAAATCACCAATGAGCACAATTTTAAACGGCTTTTTGTTTTGCGTTGTTTTTTTTTCTATTTGCAAATTCTCTGCTTTGTTGTCGCTTTGTCTTGTTCTTGTTGTTGTCGTCGTCGTCTATTTATAATTTCGTTTACAAATATGTTGCTCGATACGTTGCTAGTAGTGCGCCTATTGACCGCTGCTGCTGAAACGTCATTTTCTCCGCAGCAACAATAACAACATCAACGACGTCGACGACTCACTCGGCTATAGCAGCGTCTGCTGACTCGACGTATCGCTGCTTTTAAAAAGCGCTGTGCGAAATTCCGATGCAACTGACAAGTGTCACAGAGTTGTGTTCTTCACCTTCGGTTTCCAAAAAAAAACAAAAAAAAAATTATAAAAATAAAAAAGAACCAAAAAACACAAGCAGTTAACTACTACTTATGGACGTAGGGGGTAGTTGAAGGCAAACAACAGCCAGTTGTAGTCGCTTTGGCTGCTACTATTTGGTGTACCCCAAATGTATCGCTTCGCCTCAACGCGCCTCCTTTCACTTTCTGTTGTTGTATCACTTTTTTCGCTTTTATCTAATTCCTTCTTTTTTTTCTTTTTCACTTCTTCTATTTTTGGCTGTAATTCTCCTGTTCTCTGTTGTTATTTTTGCTTAGATTTTCGTCTTGTCGTTTATAAAAACCAACTTTGTTGTTGTGTTATTCACTGCAAAATTCAAAAAGGAATTTATTTAGTTCTATTTTTGTTTGGGTTAAAAATGCATGGAAGTGTTGTCGTTGACTTTTACGCTCGTTCAAATCAATGTCAAGACATTAAAAATTTTCTAAATACAGGAAAAATTTTAGGAATTTTTCACAAATAGAATGAAAAGTGGAAAAAAATAATGTGCATTTCGAAAATTTAGAAAAAGCGAAAAGTTGCCATCAAATGTACAGTGAGTTACAAAAGTTCAAATACAATATACAGCGGGGCTGAGGTTTTCAAATTTTAAAATTTGTGGCTTACATTCAGGGTTATAAAAAAAAAAGGTTTTGTTGTCTCGGCGGTCGCCAAAGCCGAGTGGTAAACAAAACGTATTGCCATTCGAAAGGCCAGAGTTCGAATAGTGCTTAAAACAAATTTCAAAATTAATTTTTCAAATTGCGTTCGCTCCTCCGCAAGGAATGTCAACCCCTCGGTGTGTATTTCTGACATTAAAAAAAGCTCGCCCTGACTTCGAATGAATGGGAGGTACCGCCTATTGGAAAAACATCATGACACATACCACAAATCGGAAAAGGAGCTCGGCCGAGAATGGCGCCAGCACATAAGAACGCTGGCCGAGGAACCTCGTTACTCTCAACCGTCAGACATCGAAAAAAAATATTCAACTTTGCCAAATAGTTATAGAATGTTACCTGTTATATACATATACTTAATTCTATGTAATTCCATCTTTTACAGATTTTTGTGAGTCATTGAACTCTCAACTTTTCGACATTTATTTTAGCTTTGAAATTGATTTGCGCATTTGTATATTATATTTATTGTTATTGCTGCTGTAGAACTACTTATTTATTGTTTCCTTGCCGTGTGGGTAAAATACATAATTATAATAAGAAAATAAACAAATTCAATTATTTTTCTTTTGAAATTTGCGTTTACGCATTACTCTGACGCCGACGTTGGCGCCACACCATACCCCATATAAACGCCTACAACAGAGTGTTTTTGTTGATAATCGATTCGAGTGTACATTTGTGCGCATATTTTTGGTGGAATTTTTGCCAAATTAGCAACTTTAAGTTGGAAAACTTAGCAAGAAAACTGCGAATATTCGTATGTCATTGCCTATCACCACGCGCATTACAGTCACACAACATAACTTGTTCTTATACATTTGCGCGTATTGGATTCAACTCAACATTTAACGCTAAATGCTATATGTTTCAAGCTCAAAGTTCCGTTGATGGTAGCATTTCAACGCTCATAAATTACTTGGCTGCCCCGAAAAAGGGCAATAATAAAAAAGAACAATATAAATCGAGCATTAATTGCTAAATTCATGAAAGCGGAAAATTATAACAAACCAAAAAGGCAATTAAGAATTCTAAAAACGTATAAGAAATTTTAACTTGAAAGATGTATGATAGGCGAAAAACATAAGTAAAATATTACCAGCAGCAAAATAAAAAACAATTAAATTTTATTTACATTTTCGCGAAGATTACGTTGGCGTGCGACATCTACACATACATGCATATCGATATACAGTCGTGGAAGGTCTAATAGCAACGTTTTATTTTTATCATCGGCATAAATTATTGCCTTGACTACATTTTATTCAATTCTTTCAACTTTTGCGCCTTAAAAGCAGAAAAATATGCGTAAGGTGTTATGTATTTGTACTCTTTTTAAATTTTTTAACAAATACGTATCAATTTAAATTTCTTTATAAGTAGGTTATATATTGATTTATCTAGTGTAGTAGTTAGTATTCCGGCGAATAAAAATTTCAGCAGGTCTACAGACACTATAGTTTTTTTTTTTACTTAATTTTACTGCTGAACTATTATTCTTATTCCACTTTTGAGTTATGCGAAAACACAGTTTCTTTCAAATTCAGCACTGGCAAACTGTTTTTTACTTATGAAAGTATATTAGCTCAGCAGCCTACATTTATACGGAACAATTTTAATACGTGTGCAGATTCTATGGTTTTTTACTTAACTTTACTGTTAAATTACTATTTTTTGTATCCCACTTCTGATTTATACGAAAGCACACTTTCTTTCGAATTCAACACTAGCAAAATGTTTCTTACATGCGGAAGTCTTGTTTCTTGAAAAAGGCGGTCTACATTTAAACGAAACAATTTTTCTACGTGTGCAAATTCTATCATATTTTACTTGATTTTACTGTTGAAATACTATTTTTTACCCCACTTCTGATTTATGCGAAAACATACTATCTTTCGAAATCAACACTAGCAAACTGTTTCTTATGTTGCGAAAATTTTGATTCTACATCATTTTTTTAAATGAAATAAACTAGGAAAAAAAGACGCTCTTCATTTATACGTTACAATTTTTCTACGTGTGCAAATCCTATCGGTTTTTACTTAATTTTACTGTTAAAGTACTATTTTTTGTATGCCACTTCTGATTTATGCGAAAACACACTTTCTTTCAAATTTTCAACTAGCAAAATGTTTCTTACATATGATATAAAAATATTGGTTTCACATCACCTTTCAATTAAAAATATTAGCTGGTTCAACTGTACACCGAAACGTGCAAAACTAAGAAATAAAAAGTAACGTTGATTCGTTTGAAATTAAACTGCAATGTTTATAAAATTTTATTGCTATTATTTCTTCCGCTTCTGTATACAAGTATCAATGTACATATTTACGCGTCAGTTGTATTAATCGTTTTGTTTTCATGAGCTGCTTTCATTTTTGACATTGTTTCTTGTTTCGCCATCCACCCGCGCCAAGCCATTAGCTGCTGTTAGCTCAGTGCCAGCCTTGTCTTCAAATTTACTTTTATTTTTACTTTTAGTATTCGGCAGAAGCAAATCCAAAAATTTTCAAGTTGAGTAATTATTATGCAAAGGGAGGCGCGCGCGCACTGATATGTAAATTTCGTTGAACCGAAAGAAAAACGAAAAAGAACAGCAAAAAAAAAAATTACTATACCACCTGTGTTAGTACATTGTGTGGATGTAAACATAGAAGATGTTGTGGAAGATAGATGAGTAAGCTTTGTATTGCGGTGGGTGGTTGTCGCGGATTGTTTGTGCCCACTTTTAGGGGAAAGTAGGAATCACTAATATTGAATTATATTTCAATCAGCAACGTTGATAAGTACTTAATAAAAATGAGGAAGATGAAAAGTAGGGTAGACATGAAAACGAAGCTTTTACATTATCGTCACCACCATAATTTAAGCGTCTTCAGCAGGAAATTGGTAAATTCGCAACACGGAAATGAAAATGCTGTTGCCTGGATGGCTGGAAAATTAGAACGGGAATAAATTTAAAAACTATGCTGAACAAACAGGATTTGATAAAAATAAAATCTATAAAAAAAAATAATAGTGCGAGCAGTTTCGACTGGTTCGTACCAGAGGTAGAGAGGGTTTAGCTGAGTTGGTTTTAAGGGTCGTGCGGGAACTCATTGTAGGCAAGACATACGTTAGGTATATAGGGGTCAAGTTTGAATAATTGGGAATTTAATCCACTGCAATATACAGATTTAAGTTGGACCAGTAATACGAGACAGCTTTAGCTCTTTGTCTGCAATAGTTGTTGGTTTAACACCGAGATCGCCATACATTGGACGAGAGTTCAGGAATGTGTTGACGGATTCTTAGTGAATGGTGTTTAGTGCCAGTAATGGTAAGCCGTGTTGTTGTTGTAAACTCCCCAAAGCAGCTTTCGGAGAATGTTGCGAAAATGACAGTCCTTGGCTGAATAAAAAATCCGAATCGTTCCAGTATAAAGACCCGACTGTCCCGGGCACTATTGGATTTTAGTCGCCTTGTCGCGTGATTAATTCTTGACCCTCTAACCAACGGTTGTTGTCGGTGTAGCTGTAAGCAGTTCTTTATTTCAAGCATTCCCATACTTATATGTCTGGATGGTGTGTTCGCTTCTAGTGTCCTTTCGGTAGCAAGATCCTTTCGGCGACCTAACCACGTTTAAGTCCGCTGGTACAATTAGTCTAAGTACGTAAACCGTACTGTTGTTGTTGTAGTAGCAGCTACGTTAACCCTGGTTCCGGCGATTCTATGTAACTCTTACTGTGGTGTTGTTGTCGTTGTTGCGGTTCACCAGACCCGTTTAGGGACAGGTCTACTCAATCTATGTGTCGGCTTAAGGGGACATGTGAAGAGGTGGTTAGTGTCGTGCCTCTTCCCATGCAGGGCATTTGTACGTTGGGTATGCTGGGGTAGAGCCTGGATATGTAGAAGTTTAACCTGTTACAGTATCCAGACCTAAGTTGTGCACGTAACCCTTACTCCCCTATCTCGCTTGTAGATTCTGTATATTTTGTAACAAGTCTGCTCGAAAAATTGATCGAAGTTATCGATCACAAACAATTGGAAGCACTTAACATTTTTACACCGTTTACAAATGCTGTTATTGCACAAATTAGATTACAACAAGGGTACACAAACAGAAACACAGACAGAACACACATAAAAAGCATTGAAAAGTCAAGCAGAAAATAGATAACAAAATCACTCAGCAACAGTTGAATTGATAAATAAAGACTGAATAAAAACTACAATGAAACTTGCAATAAAATGAAAAAAGCATAGCATAAATGATTGAACTTACATATTACATACACACACACATGCATATGTATAAATATAATTAGAAAAACCACCCTTAACTCAAAGGTGCCCCTATCAGCGCAGACTATCCCTATTAGCACATGCAATTCCATACATTCTCACTCCGCAGCAACTGTAATTAACCGAAAAAAAAAAAAAAAAAATGAAGTAAAACAAGCAACAACATTAACACAGTGAGGACGACAACGTATCGGCATTAATGACGGTTACAAGGATGATAAAAGTACGAAAGAGTACGCGACGGCGACGACAATACGGCTATAACTGAGCGCCAAACAGCCAGACACTAACAAGTGATGCTGAATAGGAAAAAGGAAAACTTGTTCAGACACTCATGCACAAGTGGGGTGGAGGTTCGGAAGTTTGCGGAATACATACATATAAGCATCATGAAAAAAGTGTGAATGGCAAAAGAAAGGTACAAAAGAGGACGCGCGAAAAATTCCGACAAAACGCTGAGGGGAAACAGTTGAGGAAACCCTTTTTCAAATCATTTTATATAGTAGTGCTTTCGTATCGAAGCCACGTTGATGATGATGCTACTTTTATTCCTAATAACGTTGATTATTTGTATATGTTGTAGTAACATCCCCACTGGTGGCTGCCACTGAGAGCGAGTTAAGTTCGTCAACTGGGCGAACAGCTTTTGCCAACATTGCGGTCACACCATTTACTCGGTTATGCTCCACACAACAACGGAAGCGGAAATAGTAGTAAGCTGTTAAATGAGTTGTATGTGAAGAACATGGACGGGAGAGATGGGTGGACTAAAAATAGATTTACAAATACTACTACAAGTACTGATGTTATTGATGTTGGGGGGAAAAACAACAAAAGCAATGTCGGAACGAATAGCGTGTAATGACGTAATGTATAAAAAGTTGGAAGATGATGTAAAGTGAAAAATGATGAATATACCGAACATTTGATTAGTAGATAGCCATTGTTTTGAGGGTTGAAATATGTCAAAATTGTTTGAAGTGCTCGGAGGGTAGACAGAGTGCTTCAAGTCCGTCGAATAATTTTTAATGTAAATTTATTACAGGTGTTGCTATATAAAACATGATGGAGACCTGAAATGCCGATTTATAACAAAAGTTACTCAAATGCTCATACAAGTAGGTGTTAATCCAGTTGCTTTAGTTGAAAATTATTGACTGAAAAATACTTATAAATGCTACTTATTTCAATGCATTGCATTTTCAAGCGTACAAACCACTTTTGTAAAAAAATGTTGGTATTTTTCCAGAAATAACTATACACCACTTTCATTCACATTTGGTTTTTAGTTCAAATTTGATTAGAATTTAATATATATTTCGACTCCAACTGGTAATTCACAACTTAAATTAAACTAATGAAAGACAACCTTTATGTTATGAAAATGTGAAATATAAGCTCTATTTTCCACAAATCAAACGGCAAACATAGCGCTTGGAGTGCAGTACACACGCAGTAGTTTCGTAAGAAATATTTTTTTTTTTTGTAATCGTATTTGCTCACGCATTTTGCCGCAAAACTTGTTAAATATGCAAATAATCCACAAACAGGCGATAACTTGTGACCGCATTGAAGTTTGTAATGGCAAAAGGGCTGTTGCTGATATGCCGCCATCAACATTGAAAAACCACTAGTTACCACATAATATAAAATCATATGCATACACACGTTTATAATAAGTAACTGTGTATATTTTACTATCGGTTACCATAAACACGTCACTTAAAACAAGCAGTCACAATATAATGAGTTTTTTTTTTTTTTTGCAAATTAACAGTGCTTGAATATTTTTCGAATATTTGTACATTAGCATTGAAACAAAAATATTTGCTGTTAGAGGTGGCTTATAAATATCCAAAACACTTAAAAAATTATCGACGGCTCCACAAACAACCCGGCAGCTTTTACTGCAGCTAAGCCAAAAACAAAAACTCAAACCACACAGTGAAAGGCAATTGCAATTGGATTTTGCAGCATCCACTATTTCAGTGCGTGTGTGTGTGATTATATTTTTGGTCCCTCCACTTTATGACTTTCCAAACACACAACAAACTGCTGCAATTTCTGAATCGTTCGCAGCTGGCAGACCGTGAGTAAATGTTTGCGAAGAAAATGTAGATAAAACAAAAACAAATAGAGCACACCAAAGCAGCACAGGATGACATCGACTTCGCAGCAACAGCGATTATGTGTACCGTTGCTGGACACAGCAGCAGAGCGCAGCTCTATCGCTCACGTCGCTACATTCATCGCACATTACATACGGCCCACTGTATATCACAGCGGGGGAGCAGCACACAAACATCAGATTGATTGCACATTATATGTACATACATATCTATATATATATATATATATATATGTAGTATAGTTCACATGTTTGCGCAATTTTACGTAGATAATATGCAACATTAGTTAATACTTTGCACAAACTTTTTCTTTCACTTCACTTTCGATACTAGTTACCATTGGTGGTGCAGTTTGGCTCCACGAAATACACAGCTTGTTGGTTAGTCGTACGCCGACGTTCTTTTGCTAACTTTTTTTTTTTGCCAACTTGGCTACTACTATCGCATACGTTGGCTCATAACTACAACTTACTTAACACGTTCAAAACAACTATTCACTAATTTTGCATATGAATATTGTAACAAACTTCGCAGATGTGTATGGCAATTAGAATTTTACACAGAAAACCAACCAACTTCTAATAAGCTAACGGTGACAAGAGCAGCGAAGCTGGCGTAGTTGTCGCACCAGCGAGGAAACAACAAAAAAGTAGTTGTGATGAAAAAATTTTCCTATACGCCAAATTGTTGCAAATATCAACGATTTCCTTTAACGCAATTTGCACCACACTTTTGTCAACATTGAAATGAAACTTCTTTAAATTAATAACACAAAATTTCTTCACCTTTATGCTATTTTTACAGTAGTAAAGTAATTTTTTCGAAATTTTCACTCCTTGCTGCCGTTTTCGACTCGTCGCGACTCGTAGGATGATTTACGACGCTGCCACATGTTGTAAACAAAACGAATTCGCACAAGAAAATTGCAATGGGACAATAAATGGCCATTGTAACCTAAAAATATGTGAAATAATTGGAATTCTTGTAAGAAAATTAAATAAAACTTAAATAATCTGGGAAACTATTTTGAGTTGGGGGAAACAAATACAGTTGTTAGTTTTTTGGTTTATTTTTAATAACTAAATTGTTATTTTGCATTATTCACATTGTGAGATAGCAACACTGTATACAACAGAGTTGCTTAATTTTGGTAACTTTTGTCGAAATTTTATATGAAAAGTATTTTTGATCTTGTTTTCGAACGATTTTAAATGACATAAATCATCTTTCGGATGCTATGGAAAATAATAAATTGACGCAAGATCTTTTTGTGAGAAGTACGGAAGGTCGGAACAATTATGGGCCTATGTGAACATGTCAGAATACTCAAATACTTGCATAAATAGAAGTCATAAATATACCAGGGAAACGTTGACAAGATATCTCACTAATTTAGCTATGTAGCTGGAAAGCGTAAAAATCCAATTAATTTTCATATAATGGTAGCGGAAATTTTTGCGTATTGATCATATATCTTGACATTCATTTTCAAATCGCAATTTCCTTATTACGGACAACGGCTATGACGCTTGAGTAAATGCATTTCGGCTTTAATTGTAATATTTGAATTGAGCAAAATTTAAATAGCTTATTATTGTCATATTATTAAAGCTCTGCTTGGAAATTAAGGCTTCTATTTCATTGTTATTCTTTCCTATTAGAAAAAAGCCAAAATTCTTATTAGAAATATACACAAATCCTTCATGTTCAAATTTCCAATTGCCATACACACCAGCATGTTTTTTGCCATTATTTCCATCCATATGGCATTACTTTAAGTGTTACCCATCCGCGAAGCAACACTGAAAGTAAAAATTGTAGCTTTCTTTCCGGTTGTCAAATTACTCACAGCTTGCAGCAAAGTTCGAGCGCTGTTGATTTTTCGTAGTCAAAGTTAAAAAAGGCTAATAAAATACACAAAAATGGCTTTCGGTGATGTCTCAACCCCACAAGGTCTAAAGGAATTGGAGAAATTCCTAGCTGACAACAGCTACATTAGCGGGTAAGTGTGAATAATTTACTTTCCTCCTGCATACATTGCGTGTGAGGTTATGTGCGGAGCAGTCTTGTCACGTCGACAGATTAATAAAACTTCCAATTACTTATTTTCAGATACACACCCAGCAAAGCTGATGTCTCAGTGTTTGAAGCTTTGGGCAAGGCACCAGTTGGTAGCTTCCCACACGTTCAACGTTGGTATCGCCACATTGCATCGTACGAGGCTAGTGAACGTGCCGCCTGGGGTGGTGCGCCACTACCACAAGTTGCCGGTGCTAAACCCACAGTTGCTGCTGCTGCACCAGCTGCCGATGATGATGATGACGTAGATCTCTTCGGCTCTGAAGATGAAGAGGAAGATGCAGAGGCTGCACGTATCCGTGAGGAACGTGTTGCTGCCTATGCTGCCAAAAAATCGAAGAAACCTGCGCTTATTGCTAAATCATCAGTATTGCTGGATGTCAAGCCATGGGATGATGAGACCGATATGAAGGAAATGGAGAATAACGTACGCACCATTGAGATGGACGGCCTTTTGTGGGGTGCCTCCAAATTGGTGCCAGTTGGTTATGGCATTAACAAATTGCAAATTATGTGCGTTATTGAGGATGATAAAGTTTCCATCGATTTGTTGACTGAAAAGATTCAAGATTTCGAAGACTTTGTACAATCTGTTGACATTGCTGCCTTCAACAAGATCTAAGTATGAGGTTGAGATAACTGCATGAAAATAAATTCCTTTTTATAATGAAAATAAAACATGTTGCAAAGTGAAAAGAAAACTTTGGTGTAATTCTTATAAGAATATGGATAAAGGGTAATTGCTATGCGGGGTTTTAAGTGGTTATTATGCTTATTGGAGTTAACGCTTATTGGCGTTGATTGTTACGGAGTTCAGGCAAGCTTGTTGAATTAAGTAGGAACGCACGCGAACTGCATATTTATATATATCACCGTCTTCCAAATAAATTATGTACATAATGTTTGCTCTGTACTTTCATAAGATAAAAAAAATTCAAGGAGATTAAGCCATGCACATTTTAACAATTTGTAGATATATCTTATCTTTAACTTGTGTTAATTGATGTTTTCCCAAAAAAATCGTGTTTTTTCTACGCTGTCTAGGACCTGCTAATGGATTTTCCTAGTGACCTTTTCATTTCGTGTCAGAAATACACTCGGATGGGTTAGCATTCTCTAGGTTTGATCACAGTCACAATTGTTTATATTATATAATTCTGGATGTTGGTCCAGCACGGCTTGTAACAGCTTAATTAAAAAATCAGTTTTAGTCAACGAGACCATTTCTTAGTACAGGGTGCCCCAAAAATTGCAAAAAAGTACAGAAAATCAGTTTGCGTCTTAACTCTTTCGTTTTTTCATATCTCTATTTACTTGTGAGCTTTCAAGCCGCTCTAAGCTCTAATCACTGAGGTGCCCTCATCTTCACCAGCCATTATCTCTCTTAACAATCAAAAGCTGAACGTTAAAAATTCGCAAACAATTCGTGTGACTGCTTCAGTTGTTTTAAAAACGCGAACGTGTGAAGTACGCTAAATACTACTAACGGAGTAGAAAAGTAGAAGCATCAACAAATCACAATTTGAAGTTTGGTGTGCATACATTCATACATACAAACATTTAATAATCGTTTTATTCAGCCAGAACTTAGAGTACAAAAATAAAAAAAATTTATATTAAAATATAAAACAATGGCCAACGCGTACTACGGTAAATATTTAATTGCTGCGCTGCTTTGTGTGGGCTTTGCAATGCTGATCAATGCACAGGGTAAGAAAAAATACATAAATAAATACATACATATATCTTGATTATTGTTTAGCTTAATTTATGTTTATTGACTTATTTATGTGCGCTTGAGGTGTGAAGCGGAGATAACTAATAGTGTGAATTTTGAATAAGGAATACATATACATACATACATATACAAATTTAAAAACTTACATACATATATACAATAATGAAAACTATAGCGTTGGTGTGATCGAAAAAAGAATCATGCAAATTAGCAAACAAAAAAATTATAATAAAAAAGATTAAAAAATTGAACAAATCATAGAATTGTAGAATAAATGACAGAGAAAAATTAACATTAAATTCATTTTGAAATTAAAGCAACTCAAGCGGTTAAATGACAACAGGTCCGGCTTGAACGTATTAAAATTTATTAGCATTATAATATTTTTTTCTTTTTAATTTTAATACATACATACATTTGTTGTTATGCTTTTCTGGGTTTTTGAAAGCGTTGTTTGATTTTCGATTGTTTTTTTTCAAATAATTTTTATTGTTAAATTGAAGATCAGGAAATATTTCGAGCTAATATATTTTAGCGCTTTTTAAAAATATAAAAAAAAACTTTGCAGGGAATTTCAACAGACCATCAGACAGACTTGTTTAAAAAATATTTGTGGTATCAAAAATTTAAAAATGCCCAAAATAATGTGGTTAATTTTGTGCACGTACATACATTTATAGCTTAATTTTTCTAGAACAAATTCTGAGGCATAAGAAAAAAATAATTTCAATTATTTGATATTTTTTGAATATTTTTCAAAAATATTTATTTTATTAATTTTTTTATATCTGTCAAAAATATAAATAAATATAATTAAAAAATGTTCAAAAATATTTATATGTTTATTTATGTCTGAAGAATGTATAATTATTCATCATTATTAATTATATTACATAAAAAACTATCTCTTATTTTTATAATAATAATTAATTTAATTACATTTTTACTGTTTGAGTTACGAATTCTAAGAAATTAATAAAAAAGTAAAACGAGAAATTTTCGTTACTTTACTACATCCTATTCCAGAGGGAAAATTACCCGTCGTGAGAAGCTGTATGCTTATTCAATTAACTTCTGATAAGCCATCGCTTGCGTGATTTGGCGACACGTTAAGATACAATAAAAAAAAACTCAAGCTGAATTTCCCATTTGTTTTGGCTTTCACAGAAATCGCGCAAAAAAATCCCAATTTTAAATAGTAAAAAATTAAACACAAAAAAAAACAAAGGAATTAATTGACGTAGAGACAAGAGCGAACAAAAAAGAACGTCATGAATTCCCCCAAGTAAAAATTAAACCGAAAAAAAAACGAATTTTAATTGGCAGCGTATGAAAAGAATAGCAAAAATAAACCACATACATAGTTTAACTATTAAAATCGATTTATTAATAAGTTTTGATGTCATGCGGTGCAGACGAGTCATCGACAAGTTAAATGCGAAATAGACCAAGACAAGTTTGTGAATATTTTTTGATATTTTTTTTTATAATTATTCTTTGTTTTTTTCTTGTTTTTTGCTTTCATTTTTTTTATTTACATTTTTTTTTAAATTTTTTACTCCATAAAGTTCATATAAATAATGTTTGTTTTCTGTAAATATTTATGAGTCAGTAACCGTTATGTGAGCATATAAGACAACTTGTGGTTAACAACCTTTGCATGTATATATGTATGTATGCAAATGTTTATTAATATATTTATACTTATATTTTCTACATTCTTCTTTCGCCCCAAGAGCACCCTGTGCATATCTCCAGTGGGTTTAAGAGTTTTTTTTTTGTTAAATTAGAAAAAACATTGTTTTTAAATTAAGAGCATTATTAGCTTAGAGCGTCACAATTATGTATAGAGATATGTTTAAATTCCCCACACTTTTAGAATATTTTTTTTAATTCTTTCTACAATATGCAGCTTGCGTGTGGCCTATTTTTCGTAAGCGGATTAAAAAGTATTTATAAAAAAAATTACAATACCAAGCGTTAAGTTAAAAGAAATCACACCTTGATTTCACTGAACCCATGCGCATGCTCGCTTGTATATATGTTTGTATTTAATTATTTATTTTTTTCGCAAATATAAGTTTATTTTACGGGTTAATCAGATTTACGTTAAAATTCAATAAAAAAAAGGTTATATACTTATATATATATAATATATATATATTATATTCACGTATATATGTTTGCGTCTATTTGTAAGTGTGTAATATAGTTCTTATTTTAATTTTTTATCTTTTTCACTTTATTTTGTTTATTCCTATTTCATTTTATTTGACTTTATTTAACTTTATTTAATTTTATTTCCTTATAGTTAATTAAATTTTTTTTTAATTTTTTGTTATCTTCATATATTTTATTTTAATTGATTTTTAACTCCAGTTCATTTCCATTTAATTAATTTCATTTTAATTTATTCTTTTTTATTTTATTTTATATATATTTATTTTAAAATTTTTTATTTTGTCTTATTTTATTTAAAATAATTAATTTTTTCTTTCTTTATTTTATGTTAATTAAATTTTTTAATTTCTTTTGTTTTATTTTATTTTCTTTTACTATATTTTATTTTTTTGGTTACATATTTTAATTGAATTTATTTTATATCAATTTATTTATATTAACTATAATTTATTTTTTTATTTTATTTCATATTATTTTTGCGTCTTATTTTATTTTAAATTTTTTAATTTTTTTTTGCATTAATTTTTTTAATTCAATTTATTTTATTTTATTCAAACTTATTTCATGTTTTAAGCTCTGTTTTTTATTGAATTTTTGTGTTTTTGTCTCTATCTTTTATTTAATTTTGTTTTATTTCAATTTTTTATTTTAATTTAACTTTATTTTCCTTAATTTTTTGTTTTACGTAATTTTTTACATTACTTTGTTTCAACTTGTTTAATTTAATTTTAATTAGTTCTTTATTATTTTATTTCATCATTTTATTTTAATTATGTTATATAAATTTTATTTTATTTCATCATTTTACTTAAATTATGTTATATATTTTGCATTATTTAATTTAATGAATTAAACTCTTTCTTTTTTTTTTATTTATTGTATTTTATTTTATTTAATGTAGTTTAATTTACTTTATTCTATTGTATTTTTATGAATTTTTTTAAATGTATTTGTTTTATTTATTTTATTATATTATTTTTATATTTAATTTATTTTATTTTACTTATTTTCCATAATTTTTCTATGTTTCATTTAATTTCTCTAAAATTTTATTTAATTTTATTTATTAATATTGTTTTGTTTTATTTAATGTAAAGTAATTTATTTTATTTAATATAATTTTGTTTATATTAGATTATTTTTTTTCAAACTTGTTTGTTTTATTTATTTTATATCGGTTTATTTTATTTATTTGCTTTAATTTTTATTTTATTTTTATTTTTTTTAATATATTTTATTTATTTCATTCTATTTATTTTCCATACTTAATTTAACTTAATTTAATTTTATTTCATTTTGTTTTACTTAAGTTTATTGTATTTAGTTTCATTTAATGTAATTTATTTTATTTTATCTATTTCATTTTAATTTATTTTAATGTATTTTAATGAATTTTTTTGGAAATTAATTGTTTTTTCGGATTTTTTTACATTTAATTTCATTTTATTATAACTTATTTTGTTTTATATTATTTAAGTTTTCCTTTTATTTTTTTATTTAAATTTTATATATTTTATTTTTTATTTTAAATTAATTAATGCAATGTTTCTTATTTTTTCATTTTATTTTATTTTATTTTACTTAAATTTAGTTTGTTTTATATAATTTTATTTTATTTTACTTTATTATATTTATTCCCTTATGTCACATTTTATTTGGTTAAATTTCATTTTAGTATATTATTTTCATTTATGTTATTTTAATTTATTTTATTTTATTTATCAATTTTTTTGGGTTGTTGAATGTGTTCCTTCAACCACCCTACATTAACTATGTGAAACACGTAAATTTTTGTCACCCTGTTCATTTTGTTGACATTCGGCAATCAATCTTTTCTGTTTGAAAATAGTATATTTGTTTACTTTTGAATAATTTTAAGACGGCACGTTCTATTGCAACAATGAAATTTGCATATTTACAAATATAAAATATTTTCAATGAAATGCGTTAATAATAAGTAATTATTGATAAAAAAGTTTAACAAAAATATCTTTGCTCGGTCTGCCCCCTGTGTTTTCAATTCGAAATTTAAACATATATTTTAAAGACTTAAGCAGCAAAATAAAAATAAAACTGCGAATACTTTTAAATAATTACATATATATATGTATGTATACATACAAATTTAATATTTGTGTTTTCCAAATAATCGTAAATACACATTTCCATTAATTCATTTGCATTTCACGCTTGAATGCGCTCTCATCAATCGGCGTTTTTACGCTTAGCGAAAATTCAAGTTCAATTCGCATATTTACGTTGGCTTTTATTGTTTTATTTACATAAAATAATAAATTATTTAAACAAACATACATATATATATATATATATGTATATGCGTATGTAATACTTGTGCGACAAGTATATTTAATGAAATTTATGTTTATTAACCAACAAGGCGAGTTTGTTTACTTTTTTTTATTTTCTATTTATTTTTTCACCGCATTTGAAGATGAGTCAACCTCCAAATGCAGTTAGCTATACTTTTACACAGTAAATTTATATTCAAATACGTGTATGTATGATTGTGCGTATTTGGTTTTTGCTTTTTATGCACGCCCGGTAGCTAGTTATAGCTAGCTGCATCCAAAATCATCTTCATATTCCATGTAAAGTTGTTAAACTTGTCTTGTTAGTAAGCCACTTGACTTGTCTGCTAGTTTTGTTGCTGTTGCTTTTGTTTTTGTAGTTTGTGGTTGATCTACCGGTATCAGTTTGGCGGTTGAACACATAAGAAGTTCATGGACATACATGTTGTGCTGTATGCTGTACAATTATTATAAACATTTTTAATACAAAAAATTTACGCAGTTCAAGCGACCATTAAGTAAATGCCATACAGGAAATTTTGGCTAAGAAAAAATCGTTCATTATCTTCAACAAAACTCTCCATTCTTGTAAGCTCCTGTGATTCCGAGGCCCTTATGAGAGGAAATGATTTAAAGATGTCCACCCTATAAGAATTCTTATTTATTCCTTTATACAAGACTTCTTTAGCCATTTACCTATATAACTCCGATTCGTTCTTGAGGTGGTAACTCCATAAGCTTGCTTGAAGCAAGTCAGAAATCATATTTATTTTCACAGGAAATCGATTGTTAATTGTCAATTTTCTTGTAATTTTCAATGGGTTCAGTACGATTTCCACATACTTTTCTACATTTCCATATACACGGATATATGTATATAAGTAATGTACATACGTAAGTTAATGTGCATAGCTCTTCTTCACATTGGTGCCGTTTTACAACTTATCTCTTTGGCACAGGAAATACAAACCGCACACATGCGCGATCTCGTTAAACCAGCCATTTGTCCTCAAAGCCAACACAAGATCAAGTTGAGTTGAAAGAATGAGTACTACAAAATTCCACTTAAACGTTCAAAGTCAAGTTCGTTATATAAGAAAATTTAATTTGTGGTAAACACTGCCATAATATATTAATGAAGCATGAAAAGTGGCTTGCTATAAATGAGTTAAAATTAATGCCATAAGAATTCGGTATCAAAGACAAATATGAAAGTATGAAATATATTTAATTACTTTATGTAAAAATAAAATAAAATAAACTGAAAAAATAAAATAAAATAAAAAAAAATAAATGAAATATAGTAAAATAAAATAAACTAATAAAATAAAATAAAATAAATTAAAATAATATAAAATAAAATAAAATAAAAATAATAAAAAATAAAAAAAAAATAAAAATAATAAAAAATAAAATAATAAAATAAAAGAAAAAACAATTCATTGTAGATGAAAGAGTAAAAGGTGACCGCATATAGAATTTAGAATGGCGAAAAAGAAGTATTTATATCTGTATTATCCATATGTACATATNTAAAATAAAATAAAATAAAATAAAATAAAATAAAATAAAATAAAATAAAATAAAATAAAATAAAATAAAATAAAATAAAATAAAATAAAATTAAATTAAATAAGATAACATGAAAAGAAATAATTTAAAATATTAAATAATAAATTAAATAATATTAAATAAAATAAACAAAAAAAAGAAAAAAAATTAATATAATAAAATAAAATCTTGAAAAACAATACAAATTTAAATTTATTAAGTCAGAAATATGTAAATAACAGGTATAATGAGTAGAAAATGTAATTTTTATAATCCCATGCTGTAAAACACACTGCGTCACCTTTATTTTTGTAGTTCAAAAATGCAATAACAATAAATTAAATAAATTTATTCGCATACAGATTGAACTTATCACTAGTGAAATGAGATAAAGATGCGCACATATGAGAACACATGTGGAATTCCTTATTATTCCAGTTAGACTAGATATTTTTTTTGTGCCACAAAACGCTTTAATTCCATGGTTTGACGACATTAAATTACAGGAATTTATTGAACTCTTCTGTAAAATGTGTATTTTTTTGTTTTTTTAAATAAGTACATAGAAATGTAAATTGATTAAAAGGAATTTTTGAATTTTTTACATTGTTTTAAAGTGTGCAAACAAATGCATTTTTAATTAATTAAAGTACTTGCTTTAGACAGAGATGACAAGTCAGTGACCTTTTCATCAAATGTTTGCTGTTTTTAGAAAAAATAAAAATACGTACAACCATCAGTTGAACAATCTTAAAATAATTTATTGTACACATACTCGTACTACTTATCTGCTTACATATATTTGAGGGTTAACTTGGATCATAACCCAATTCTTGAGATCAATAAAAAAGACAAGATTATCATTCAAATAAATACAATTTAATTAATTTGTAGTATATGTTTGTACTAATAATCAAATGAGTATAATATTATTTAATAATTTTAAAAACAAATGCTTATCAGCGCACGCTTTGTTAATGAGTAGATTTTGTTGACTCGTCACGATTTGTACAAGAGCGTAAACAAATAAGTATTTAAATTATATTTTTATTTCATATTTTATATTTTTTATTTTTAGTTCATATTTTATATTTTATATTTTATATTTTATATTTTATATTTTATATTTTATATTTTATATTTTATATTTTATATTTTATATTTTATACAGATAAACCAGTCACTGACATTTGTTTGGGTTGTATTTGTGAGGCAATTAGCGGTTGTAATCGTACGGCAACTTGTACTGGCGGCGTCTGTGGACTCTTCCGTATCACCTGGCCATATTGGGCTGATGGCGGTAAGCTGACATTGAATGGCGAATCGCCCGAATCGGAAACGGGTAAGTTTTGGAGTTTTCCACTTTGAAGTATTCTCTAAATAAACACATCTTTTTCTACCGCCCACAGCTTATGCCAACTGCGTTAATGATCCATTTTGTGCTGCGAATACCATGCAAAATTATATGATAAAATATGCACAGGATTGCAATGGTGACAATCAAGTGGATTGTTATGATTATGCGGCCATACACAAACTGGGCGGTTTCGGTTGCAAAGGCGAATTGGGTTATAATTATCAGACTACACTCTCGAATTGCTTGAATCTATTTCAGGGTTAATTAGTTTAGTATCATAGCTTGACGTTTGATACTTTTCGAAAAGCATTACTGTAATATCAGCTATGATTATTATATTTTATTTGATTTTATCTTATTTTAAACTAATCTTATGACATTTATTAATAAACGATAAATAAAAGAAATGTATACTCTTTTACCTTAAATAATCGAGAATTTTATGTTGAGAAAAACAAAAAAAAGGGGACAAAGAATTTTATTTAACCCTGTAAGGCAATTTGAGGTTATGGTTGAAATCTCTTCTAGAGATAACACGGTGCGTAAACTTTTTCCTTAAAAGATCAATGATTTCGTTGCTTATGTGGCACGTAGCGATTTATTGTTGAGAGTAAACGTTGTCCAGATAAATACTATCCAATTCCAGCTATAAAAAACATAAATCATCTCTCGATAGTGCATCAATTCACCGTAACTGTTGCCTCAGGACCATAAGCCGCGCCAACCAGTTACACGTTGAGGATGGAGAAGCCTTTCAACAATCAGTCGTGAGTTTTCCGAGCCTCAGATGCAGCAGTTTTGCAAATGACGTAGCCATTGAGATAGAAATGGTACCCATCAGTCAAGTTATTTTCTGTTTTATGAAATTCCGCATCATTTTCAGGAATTTCAAGCACCCAATCAGCAAAGACAGGACGTTGTTGATGATTGGCCGACTTGAGTTCTTGTGTTGACTGAAGCTTATAAGCCTTAAGATCAAAGTCTTTATGCAAAATACGGTGTAATGACTTTTGCGGAATGCCCAATTATAACAATAAGAACAACGTAGAGTGGACAAACTTAGGTTTTCTCTTCAACACTTTGGACTACAGCAGCAATATTCGCAGTTGTTCTTGTGCAACATGCTCGTGCTTTAATCTTCACATTACTAATTTATCCCAAGAGGTACATTCTTGTATTGCGGTCCGACAAGGTGCTTTACCACGATAAAATGTTACAGTTTTACGAACTGTCTCTGACGGGTTTTCAACATTTCTATAGTGAATATGAATACATTCAATGCGTTGTTGTAGCGTATATCGTTCCATTTTTATTACTGGTGGGCTTTATTTGTGAAATGTCAGATGTTAAAAAAATACGGCTTCAAAGTGACATTTAGTGGATTAGCAGGATATTCAAAAAACACCTCTTTTAAAAAGAACTTTACTCACTTACAGTTTTGTATTTTAAAGCTTTCGTTAAATCACTGTGGTCCAGCATAAAATTTACCTGAATTGCAATTCATCGCGGCTCTTTCCATTTGGCCGCTTAACATTTTAGCTTTTAAACTTATTTTTTGATTTTTTATTTTCATTACAATCATAAATAAGTTACATAATTGCTGACTTCCGTTTGCTAAGTAGCTGTCGAATAGAATTTTGACATTTTCATTTGGTACAGAGTGCGTCAAATGTTTGACAATCAAAACGTTATATATTAATTTAGTTGGAAAGAGTACGAAACTCCAACATTGAGCAAATGATACCTAAAAGGGTATTTCTTAGTACCAAATATTCGACAGCGATTAAATTTTCTTCCGCAACGTACTGTAGAAGAAGGCAGACTGGACTTTATGCGATCTATTGTAGCTTCGTAGTGAATTATCAATTAGTAAAATAGCCTTATACGAGTATACCAATTATTCGAAATCGATAGAAGACATGTGTTGGGTACGGATAAAAAAGAAAATGTGTTCAATGCAAAGTGTTCACTCATAGGAGCATTCACAATAGACATTTGTGTTGGATTGTTTTGGAGGTTATGATTAGTGCTCTGTTTTACTTACTCTTTTTTCGCCAAGCGTACACTACATCAGCTTCATATGAAGGATTAATAAAAGCAATAATTTTATTTTTTTTATAACTAAATAACATTCTTTTTTTTATTTTATTGAAGATACTTATTAATTAATTTAGCATCGTACTTGGTTGTAACATCAATTGTATTGCTTTTTATTTGAATACTTTCAATGTTACTAATTTTGCTCATATTATTGTTTGTTGATGTTTCATGATCACACGATGTACATATGTATGTGTATATATGTATGTATGTATATATGTAATATATGCAAATATGCGCTTATTTTTCTTTATGTCAATTACATATTAACTAATTACTTAAAATTATATATGTATGTATGTATGTGGCTTTATATGTACATATGCATACATATGTTTTGTATATATATTCTTTACATTTGTTTAGCCGTTATAACTCATCCTCAGATTGACCTCTATACATTTCTTGTGTTGTTGTTGTTGCTGTCGTTATTGGAAAAAATCACCATCAATTTCATAGACAATTTACAGACAAATCATTTGTGATTAATTGGGTTTGTTGCTGTTGTTGTGGTTGCTTTTAGAAATTCACTTTTATGTAATTGCATTAATTACATATTGATTTCCTTCTTCACTCTTCTTTTTTGCACTTAATCGCCATGTGGATGCATAGACACAGGGTGACAATTAAGTTCCGGATCCTTGTTTTTTTTATTAGAAATACTTAAAAAATTAAACTAAAATTTTTTCAATAGCAAATTACAATAGAAAATTCAAATATCATTTCATCGATTTTTGATTTATCTTTATTTAACTGGGCGAAATATGTGATTGTTTCTTGAAGTTGGTTGCTGTGAACATATATTTTTTGGCAAAAAATACTTATTAACATAATTTTACAGTTCGAGTTTATGCCTGGAAAATTTTGGTGGGTAAATTAAAAAAAAAATCACTACGGTAGGGCAATTGAAGACATATACACATAAATATGTATATGTATAAAGATTAAACATCTGAGCTGGGAAATTGTAAGCTTTTCCTTAGAAGTCAGCAATATTGCATTTTCCCTATACAAATAAGTTCTCTTGGAGAACTGATTGACTGATATGAAATTGACAATTTTATACTTACATCTCAGTCTCTGCCATTTCAGCTGCCATAATCAGCTGTTTTAATATGCTGAAAACAGCTGATTGTTTATTAAAAAACAGGAGCGCTTATTACTTAATGCCACCATTGTTTCATTTTGTGTAAAATATTTGTAATGGTTTAACATAATTTTCTTTCCTGTTGACATTTGCTGCAAAATCTTTAGAATATTGAATAAAAATTTTTCGAACCGGTCTCCATAGATATGTAGAAGGCCTTGCCTTATTTTCGAAATGTGTAACGAGACTTAAAATTGACAATTAATTGTTTAATAGTGCACAGAATTTCGGAAAATATTACCCAAATGACGTCACTATTCTTTTTTTGTTAAAATGCTTGTAATACCCGACGACATTTGCTACAAAATTCCTTAAAAAATAGAAGCTTTTAATGAATACATTTGGTTTTTATTCTTCCATGACCATGACCTAAATAATATTCGAAACTTTTCCCGTTGATATTTAGTAGGTCTTACCTCATTTTTAAAAAAATGTAATGAGACCTAAAATTGACAATTATCTGCGTTCATCTCAATCTGTGTCACTTTAGCTGTCATAAGCAGCTGTCTACTGCATTGTTTGTTAGCGAGCAAATGTATAAACTTCAATTCTTAGATGGCGCCTTCGTCGCCTGCGTTGGTACGGGAACTTAATTGCTGCACTGTGTGTGCGTACACTATTGCGACACACTATTGCATTTTTATAAAGTTTTTTTTTTTTGCTTTAGTGATTATTTGTAATTAAATAGTTTCTGTATGCATGTATATATATTTGCAATATATAAATCTACTTATGTACATACTATGTACAGGAAATTGTATTAATTCATTGGAATATATATACATATATATTATATGTATACATTTTTTTAATAATTATTGCTTAATCCAAATTTAAATTTTTTTAACTTTTTACATATTTCTTTATGCTTTTTTTTATTACTTTGTATAAATATGTGATTTGTATTTAATTTTTAAGTTATACATTTTTTTGGTACTTATAATTTTCCGTTCACTTTGAATATGAAAACTACCAACAAATATTTTTTTATCGAATTTGAATTTTTATCTCATAAAAATACATATTTGGAAAGGATTTTTTTTCGTTAACATTGAAAACTACATACATACAGTGTTTGCTATTAGTTTGCGTACAGCGTTTTTATTTTGTAATATATATTTTTAGTAAAAATCTAATATAGAATTATTGTTAATTAGTTTTTCTCGCCTTTTCACTTGATTGCTAAACTTTTTAATATAAAATATATACGCGCAACATTTTTCTTTGAAATTTTTTCTTTAAAAACATACACAATATTTTGGTTACTACTGTAAAAAAAATCAAATTACCGAAAATACAATTTTTAACAATTTTTTAATTATTTGGTTTAATTGATTATATTTTCAAGAGAAGATTATGAATTTTAGAATTTGCTTGCAAGTTATTTTATTTATTTCTTTTAAATAATTTAATTATTATTATTAGTTTTTGTTTACATGTGTATGTAAAAATTATTTAATTATTATTATTAGTTTATTGTATATATATATATATATGCATAAACTACAGTTACTTTTTAAAATGTTGAAAGTAGTAATTAATATATATATTTGTTGTTGTAGATGTTTGATAGTAACAACCATTTTTTTAGCATTTTTCACTTAACAAAAAAAAAAAAAAATATAAGAAAAGGAATGTAAAAAAATATAAAAACTATTATTTTAAAAAATTTTAATGTGCATTTTCAAGGCCTCTTCTCAACTACCAACTCTACAACCCGGCGGTAGAGTGTTGTAAAAGGAGGAAATTCATGCTTTGAGAATATGATCACGTACATACAACACTGAACGATAAATTTCCAGTATATCGATAATTGTATTTATTAAATTTTGGCACACCGTTATAAGGCTTTGCGATCAGAGAACGTCAAATAACGAGGAACGATTGCGGACAGCATTTGAACTGCCAGAATCGACAAAAAAATAAGAGACTATTTCACTACTTCCGCTAGGAATTGACTCTGTTTTCTTTCTGAGCAAGATAATAATAAATTAATAAATTAATTGTCACCCAAATATCATTCTTCTGCAAATAATTTTTCAGTCTCTGGTAATTCGCTGTTAATTAGCGGTGAAATAGTCTCTTACTAATATCGTATAGAGGTGAAATAGTCACTTAGAAGTCCCGTTGGTGGAACAAATGGCAATCGGCACGTCTCGGTCCTTCTCTTTAATATACGTTCTCTGGTTTATACTTATGCATGTCATCAAAATGTGATTTGTAAGAGATCAGAAAAATATTAGGTATGCAGAAAGAAAATTAGAAAATTAATTAATTAATTAATAATACATCTTTTCCATACAACTTTTGTCTGTTAAAAAAAAAAATTAAAGAATCTGAAATTTTTTCGGTGTATTGAAAGGAAAAAATTTAGAACATTTATATAAAATGTGTATGACGGTCAAAGATGTTACAAAATTTTTTAGAAATATATTTTTTATTTGAAATTATTAAAATAAATTAATTTCAGTTATATGGCAACTTTATTACAAAAAATGCTGTTAAAAAAGCCTATTTAAAAAAATAATGATAACAAATAATTTCTTTTAATGGCAAAAGTTATTAAGAACTTAAAAAAAACCTTGAAATAAACTTGTTTGAATTATATGGCAACTTTGTTACATGTATTCCGGTAATCAGTTCAAAATATTATTTTCAAAAAACCCAATAATTACTTTTAATAGTAATTACTTTTAATAGTAAAAATGATTAAGAAAGATTAAAATTATGTTTAAGAAATCATTAAAATAAATTAATTTCTGGTATATGGCAACCTTGTTAAAAAAAAAAATAAAAGCAATACACATATATTCCGCTTATCAGTCAGAAAATATTCTTTTCAAAAAATTCAAATTAAAAAAAAAATTTATTACTTTTAATGGCAAAAATGTTTAAAAAAGCTGAAAATAACAATATATAAAATAATATTTCTCGCAGTGTATTTACGCTAGTTTTAATGTTAGACAAATTGGCATATATGGGAAGAATAACACTAATTAAAATCCAATTATTTTATGCCTTGAAAAAGTACTTTTGTTTAATAGCAGTAAATTAGTTAACCCTTACGGCAACTACAATCACTTTTCAAAATAAATAACTGTAAATTGTAGTAGATATTTATTAGTATTGGAATATTCTGCTTATGGTAGCATAAACAATTTTTTTTAACTATGTATGTATGTATGTATATAAAAAAGTTTATATATTGTAATTGCTACAATCATTTGTTGTTTGTCTTTTTCTGAAATTACTGAATAGTAGTAAGTAGTAGTTACCGTTTTACTTAGAATTTTTGTTGTTGTAATTTAGAAATTTTTGTTGTATGTATGTATGTATATACGTAGCTGAGAAAAAAATCACATTAATGGTAATATTGGGATTACTTTGCGATTTTTCTCAGCGCGCAGAGTTGTTTTTTTTTGGGGTTATTTGTTTTACTGTTGACAATTTTGCTGCTTTCCATAACAGTGTGTAAAGTTTTTTCACGATTTACAGTATTTTGTTTTACAGTATTTAGCAGCTATTTATGTAATTTAGAACTTTTTGACAAGAAATTTAGTACTTTTATGAGCGGTTTAGTACTTTTGCGAGCGGTTTAGTACCTTTAGCAGTTATTTAACACTTTTTACATGACTTTTCACACAGTTTATATACTATTTAGTACGTTTTAATGTAATTTGAAACTTTTCCCAGTGGCTTGGTATTTGTCCCAGTGGTTTAGTACTTTTCCCCGTATTTTAGTACATATTTCAATAATTTTTAGTACTTTTTATATACTATTTAGTACTTAGTGACAACTACATGGCACTTTCATAGATTATTCTGTATTTTTGTTACGCGGTCTAGTACTTTCCTGTGCCTTTAACGCTCTTAGTAAGTTTTTAGTACACTTTCCCGGGTTTTTTTATGCAATTTAGTACTTTTAGATTATAGTTTAGAATTTGTGTATGTAACTGTTTACTTTTAAAATATTGCACTTTCATGTAATTTGCTCAAAATTCAGAATTTTTTTGCAGGCAATTCATTACTATTTGTATGCTTTTTAGTACTAATTCATTACAATATTATGTATCATTATATTGTATATATGTATTTAATTTATTATAATTCACTATTATTAAATTGTATTAAATATGTGTATATAATTTATTATATTTATTTTGTAAAAAACTATTTCATTTGTTATTGCCTGCTTGAAATTGTTTACTTTCCGAAAGTAGTTGAACCCATTTGAATTGTGTACGGAATTATGTACATTTTTTTTTTAAATTTCATACAATTTTAATGTATTTTAAAACTTTATATTTAATATTTATTTACATGTACGCAGCTGATTTTTTTTTTTTTTATGAAATTTTTTGTCTATTATATGCAATTTATTGTAATTTGATGTAATTTAGTACTTTTCCCTCAACATTTAGTACTCGCTTTATTAATTTGAGCTCAATCACTTCTTTTAAAAAAGAAAATTGCTTTGCTTTTTTACAAAATCTACTACTTTTTCTCCATCCCACCGTTAGCGTTTTAAACCTTTGCTCACTTTTTACAGTTGCCATCATTCGCAATCAGCAACTCTTTGGCCTCCTTTTTGCCCTTCTTTTTCTCTTCCTTGGCAATTAATTTCGCCAAACGTTCTTCCTCCTTGGCGAGACGTTTCTCCTCCTAGAAAAGGGTAAGTTGTTTTTTTTAGCAAAAAAGAAAAATGAAAGCAGGTATTATTATATTTTTTTTCTTGAAAGCAAAATTCTCTTGTAAATAGTAGCAATAAACCTCTAGAAAGTAGTATATATGTATATGCTATAATTACATAATTGTCATCTACTTGAAAGTCGCAACTGTAACTCTTAGAAGAACCTTAGTGTAATGAATACAGTGAAAAAATTACTTTTTTTCCAACTAATAATTTGAGAAATATATATGTAAATACTTTTTTAATTTTTTTTTTATTTTTCAAAATTCATCATCTGCCAACGAGCTGTGATTACACACAAATAACTCCTAAATACGAAATAATTGTTACAGAATTGTTAGAAAAAAAATTGTTACTAATTACACTATACATATATATGTATGTATGTATTAAATTTCACAAACTCCTTCTATTATTTTTACTTTGTTGTTATGTGTGTAAAAGTTTTCTATTGTTTTTTTTTCAATTATTTTTATTTTCTTACTACTATCTGTGTATAGGCCAATTAGCATTTGTTTGTTCATTCATTCATTCTTTCATTCATTCATTCATTCATACTTTTATTTATTCCGCCATTGTTGCAAGGGAAGTCATCGTAATGCATGCGACATGCTATATATGTATGTATGTAAAACAATAAACTAAAAACTTTTGATATATGGCAAACGCAACCCTGTGTATGGCCTGTGTTGCGCCCAACTGTTCAGCTATTCATTCATGCATGTTCATTCATGTATCAGACACACTTCCCGTTAATACTGTGTGGCATATTTTGTGGCGGTTGTTGTCGGGAGTACATGTACGAGTACATATGTAAGTAATAAATAAAGGAAAATAAACATGAAAACAGCAAAAAAAGAAGCAGCGGAAATACACACACATATACGAGTACATATATTTAAAGCGAGCACCAAAAAACAATGAACTATTGCAGAGTATAAAATAACAATAAAATGGCATACAATTGAGCAAGCTTGCAGGAGTAATTAAGTGTAAAGAAATTTAAGAAGAAGTGTGTATAAGATGCACATAAAAATAGCACAAGAAAAACACAAGGAAAATAAGTTAAGTGTAAAGAATAGTAAGCGTGGAGAGAAATAAAATTGTGAAGGGAGTAAATTGTGAAAGGGGTGTAAACAAAAAAATAAAGAGAGTTGAGAGGGCAATTAAAAAAGGAGGTTATGTTAATGGCGGCAGAATGCCGAGTAGTGGAAGTGAGCAATTAAAGCAATTAAAATTTTTAACTACAAAACGTAAAAGCAAATTATGATGTAAATTTCACAAAAAAAAAAAGAAAAAAATGCATATAAAAAGAGTTTGTAGGGAGCGGCAGACATGTTTACAAAGACAAAGAGAACAAAGCGGAAAAAGTTCATAAAAGATACTTCAACTACAGCGAGAGAAAATTATATAAAACCCGTACAAAGGACCCAGAAAGCCTAAATAAATATTTGCAATCAAAGCTGATCAAAAGAGCTGCCCAGTGTCTGCCGAAGCATATCATTAAAAAAGCTCATATTTTTGAGCCGATCCCAATTTAATAAATTTTTTATAAACATAAAGCTTTAATCATCAAAAGAAAGCTTTCAATAAGGGATTTCTAGAGGATAATTGTACGAAGTTGGGGACGTCAAGAGTAGCTTTTCGGATACTTGAAGAAACTACATAATTAAATATATATATGAATCGCATCGAAATTAATAAAGAGAGAACGAAACCACCTAGACTCACTCCCAAGTCATGTTTGAAAGAATTTAAGTTGTGAAATCAGTCATCTGTGTGGCTGTCGAGGTTAGAAATTGTACCAATGATATTTCCAACAGTGGAAGCTTCGAGTTTGTACGATCGTTTATGTTGTTGTTGTTGTTGGAATTACAAGAATATTCCTCAAATAGGTTATGGGGGAATATTGCTGGAGTGACAGTCTTTGACCGTGTAAAAGTCCAGGTCCTTACGGCCCAAAGACCCAAGGGTCGGAGGAAATATTAAGACTTTAGTCGCCTCTTACGACACACCGCAGGGGTATATGATCGTTTATAACAGTCTGCTGTAGATTATTCCAGTAACTATTTTGGAATGGCATAAAGATACAAATTTCTTCGAACGTTATGTGAATTGATGCATTGGACGCAACGAAAGACATCGACGTGGGCCAATCTGCAAAAGCCTGGGAAACCATGTGGATTTCGAAGACGTAATTTTAGATGAAGTAGGCAGAAAATTTTGCTCAGCGATACAAGAAAGCTTCCACCGCCACCCACGTCTACATGAGAGTAATTAGTAAGAGATGACTTAAGGGCGGGAATTAGTTAGTATGCTGGCCGGCACTAGATAAAACGACCGTTAAAAACGACAGTATAAACTAACGTTACGATGTACCAAAAATTTAAAGGGTCTGACCATTCGGCTCATCACATTTGCTTCAGACAAGGTTGCTTTCCTTCGTGTGAATTCTTTAACTTAGTGCTGGAGAAAATAATAAGAGTTGCCGTACTAAATAGAGAAGGTACGAATTTGTTTGAAAGACTAGAGTTGATGGTGATATCAGCAGTCAAGCAATAAGTCATGCTTTCTCCTGACTGGCTAAGGAAGCGAGCTTAATGGATCTGATTGTGAACAAAGACGAGACGAAATATCTCTAGTCACAGGACAAACAGTTCGCATTTGAGTTTTGGCTCCCATATCCGTGTTGGTAGTTAAATTACGAATCAGCATAAACATCAAAACCAATCTCAGCCTGGAAATGCAACGTAGAACTGCTATTGCTAGGAGGTGCTATTTTTAATTGGGTGAGTAATTGAAACGTAAAGTCCTCCCTGGTCAACCATAGGTGCTACTTTTCATTGGGTTAGTAATTGAAACGTAAAGTCCTCCCTGGTCAACCATAGGTCAAATTCCAGAAGTCGCTCATCATCCCCGTCTGCTTTATGGTGTGGCTAATATGGACAGCTGCTGTGTCGGCACTATGGATTTGAGTGAGTATTTGTGAGCAAAATATGGTTTTCTATCTACAGACGAGGAAAAACATATTAGACCTCGGAACTTTGAGCTTTTTAGCGGATTAAGAGATAGCTATCGGAAAACTAAGTATTCCTTGCAGTACCCATTAGTGGAAGCAGTGGAAGAGGAAAACTTCTACTTCATTGGGTGGATTTTTTAACACAGTTACTTAGAGAGAAACTGCAAAGCAGATGAACAAGTCCAACCGAACTTCGCAACGAAGAGAAGACGTATACATTAAGACCAGAAAGTTTCCGGAAATATTTTTTTCGATATACCCGGTTTGGTTCTTCATGAATTTATTCCAACGGGAGTGACGGTCAATAAAGAATATTACTTGGGTTCACGTGAAAACATCCGTCGTAAGCGGCCGGAATTGTGGGTCAACGATTCTGGAATTTTGATTCTGGAACATTGTTCTTCTCTTTGAATGAAAAAAGAATAGAAGCTTTGTACTAACTCTTCACGTAAACAACAAAAATTACAAAATCTACAATTAAATGCATTAAGCGAAAAAAAAAAATGAAAATGGATAACGATTAGAAATGAGACAGGAAGGAAGCATAAAGTAGCCGAAAAGAAGAAGAAGAAGAATAAAACTCAATAATGAATATGCATTTTGCTGTGTGTGATAGACCAATTACCGACATTACTTTCCAGGCAGCCAAACCACCATACAAGCATAATAACCCACCACCGACACCAACACCACCACCACCACCACCACCACCAACACCACCATGAGCCTCGACGCTGTTATGTGCATCTTCACCTTCATCTTCATCTTCATCTTTATTAACAACATCATTATTATCATCTTCATCATTATCTCTTTTAATATTATTTGCCTTAACATTTTTGTTATGTTCAGCCTTACAAACACCGTTAGTAGTTCGTGTTGTCGTTGTAGCGTCACATTGACGTGCACCCACCTTTCTCGCTTCCTTTTCCGCTTTTTGTTTAAGTTTCTCCTCCTTCTTTTTACGCTCCATAGATTCATTTTTCTTATTGTCAGCTTTCTCCTCTATAAAATGTGTGGCAGCGGGCGGAGAAACAAAACGAAGAAGAAGAAAAAACAAAAGAATGAAACAAAATGTTTTATAGCATAGTACATTGAGAGAGAGAGAGAGGGAGAGACAGAGAGAGAGAGAGAGGAAGATGGTGTGTATGTGTGTGTGCACGGAAATTATTCAAATTATCTATCATCATAAATAATTACAGGCGGTGATGGAAATTACTCTACTATTTAAAAGTTTCCTGATAGAAGCTGTCAGGCGCAGTTGTTAGGGGCTTTGAACAAAAAGTGTTTGATTTGTGACAAATTTCGTTGGAAGTTTGAGCATTCCACACAACGGTGCTAGGGGATATCGTAAAGTGGAAGCTTTTGGAGGTTGGTAATAGATGGGATGGGATTTAAGAGAGATGTGTTTAGGTGGAAAACTAATGAATTTGGAGAGTCTCTGCTTCGCGGTTGAGCCAATATTTGGATTGTGAAGGAGAGAGTCGGTACTATTAAGCCTTTGTTTTTGTTCGGTATCCGAAAAGCCAAATATCTCGATGAAAGCTCAAAGCTAAAAAGGAATTTCTCCTCTCGAGTATAGCAGCGACTTCAAGAAAATCAGGCGGAGCCTTAATATCACAAGTTAATACATTTATTTCTTATACAATGATATAATTAGAGCCATTAAGCGAGAACTGTCTTTAAGTGAAGTCTCAAAAGCTGTTTTGGCTCCGAGGTGTAAAGCTTTCTTTGACTAAAGCCCATGGTGTTGAGAAAATGTTGAGAATTTTTCATTTCCAGTGGTAAGTGCTGGATATTAAAATATTATAGGCATTCTAACTGATCAGACGGACTATCCCTTTAAGACTGCTTTTAACCTCATCCAAGAACCTTTAAATATATATATATAATTGGCGCTTTATTACCACTGAGTCGAGCTCTTCCTGGATGGCAACACCTACACTTTATTCTAAGCCACCTCCGAACGGCAAATGGATTTTTTTAAGAAGCATTTATTTCATGTCAGAAATACACTCGGAGAGCTTAATATTCCCTGTCGAGAGGCAACCGCAATTAAAAAAATTAACTAAATTTCTTATTTAAATTAGTTTTCTATAATTTTAGATGTTGGTCGAACCAGAACTCGAACCCTGGTCTTCCAAGTGACAGTACGCAATGCTTGCCCCTCGGCTTTTGCGCCATAGTGAGTGCCATAAGCTATTGTGATCCGCTCTACAAGTCGGCGAATAAACGATTGTATTGTATACTCGGTCGTAAGAGCTTCGTTATGGGTCCACAAGCTCCCATGATCCAACAAAGAAGTCTTGGAAGCAGATTTTTTACTATTATTCAGCAATTCTTACTTAGAACTTACTATGGTTACTATTGCTATTGGAGAAGAGTGGAAAACTTCGATTGGAAGAGCTGGAGCGCGAGGTTGGCGCTGAATAGGCCTTGTTATTGCTGATTTGGTTTGACGCCGATGCTGATTTTGGTATTGGTGTGGTCGAGGCAGATACGCTGTTACCATTTGAATCATGTGTCGGCTTCTTATTACCACCACTGTTTACAGTCGCGTTTGTCAGTTTGCCATTGACCTTCGCCGCATTGTTGCCGATACCATTACCTGTGGCTTTCTTGTCTTTATTGCCCAAAGTATAAGCATTCCTCGGTAGTGAGTTCTTCGATACCAACGGACTGATCTTTGCACTACCAACTCCAGCTTTGAGTGGTGGCGGTCCCAGGCTATTAGTTGATGCTGATCCCACTAGTATATTCATGGGCTTTTTCGGAGGCGAAGGTGGTTCACATAAGAGTGGAGCTATTTCATGCGCACTCGTTGAGGATTTGGTGTATGAAGCATAACTGTAAATTATATTGTAGTTAAAATATTTTGTGTTTAGGAAATTGTCAGCAACTTACCGAAAACGCGGATTGCTTATGTGCACAGGTGAGGGATGTGGCACTTTGGCTGGACTGCGAAACTCTTTAATGGGTGGTAAACGATTTTGCAAATCCGTCAGTCGTCCTTTGGTATGACGACGCCCCGGGTAGGTATGTGTCGCTGGCGGAAAACTGCTACAACTACTTAAACTCGACCCACTCGACGAAGAGGTGCTCAACGAATTCAGTGGCTTACGTGGTACGGCGCCCGAACAGCCCGCGGGACAACCACCCGAATGTGAATGCGAATGATGATGATCATCACGTGGCGACAACGAGCCCGACACAGTTGACGAACCGGAAGGCGATAGTGAAAGCGTGCCATGTGACGCCGACGATGATGTTGTACCCGGTGGTGCTAAATGATTATTCAATACCGGCGTTTGTGTGTACGCTGACATGGCTGACGGTGATATGGGTGAGGCAGGCGAGCAGAGACCACTCGAAATGGAAGACGTCTTAGAGTAGGCAGACATATGTGAGACACCCGATAGCGATGATGAACCAGTCGAACTCATCGAATACAAACTATCCGATTGTGCAACACGACCGCCACCACCACTATTCGGACTGCGTGGATAGCGACCACCGTGCAGTGTTGGATGCGGATGGAAAGCATGATGGCCGCTATGTGCATCACCCATCGAATAGGAACTAGCCGAGGCGTGCACACCGCCGGCGGCACCAACACCGGCGGAAGCCCAACTTTTGGCACCCATGGAATAGCTGCTCGCCGACTCTTGTATACGCCAAGTGCCCGAGCTGGAGGTAAGACGATTGACACGCGCTCTGCAGATAACACAGCGTAGTGGCAGTAGACGTTGTGCAACGGCACTTTGTATTGTCTTAACAAAGCAGCGGCGGCAGACGACACGATGACCGCAGGGCGATGTTTGCATTGTGGCGCGCGCATTAATGCAGATGACGCATTCATCCTCCTGCGAAGTGGGCGGATCCGGTTCGCTTTCCTCCAGCTTGCTCAGAAGCTTGTCCTAAGCGGAGAGAGAGAGAGGGAGAGAGAGAGAGGTAGAAGGTAGAGAAAAAAAAACGCATTTAGTTAGTTAACGTGTTACTTGTATGTTGTGTGTAATATAAATATTTTAATTTCATTAATAATGCCTAAAAGTAGGCAACACTTCTCATGCAACGGTCTACTGAGAAATGTACATACTTTGTTTGAGTAATTTCTCTTCAGTTAAGAGCAGCGGATGTTAGTTAACCGATTATAGAGTTAATAATAATGAGCGCCTACAACAACAGCAATAACAATAATAAGAGAGCTTTTTAACATTTTTTAGTTGATATTCAAGTCGCAGCTAAAATATTTCTTTTGTTTATTTTTTTATTATTTGTTGTTGTTTTCTCATTAATTTTAATGACTAATATAATCGTTTATTTTGATTAATATTAGCTCTTTTCTAGCACTAAGTAAATTTAAAAAAATTCCTTTTGTCAATTAACAAGTGATAATTTATTAGACTCAAGTTCGCTGATTGATGTGTTGAACTCTTGATTTTTTTTGAAATTTTTTTTGCAAAAAACTTAAATTTGCATAAAATTTTTATTTACTTTTTAGTTATTATTTTTTCTATTATGTCAATATTTAGTTAATAACTTGAACACCTTTGTCAGCTAATAAAAATGTTCATATATTTTACATATACATATATTGACTATCGAGCTCATGGCGTTCACATTTAAGTTTCTCTTATTGGAACTTTCAAAAGTATTTCAGTCAATGAATACTTGGAGAATCGTCAAAAGACTGCTAGGAGTGGGCTTATGTTTACATATACGAATATGGATTTCTTCGCGCTCGGTGTAGGTTAGTTGAAAGGAAAGGGGCAGGTTGAGGACCTTACCACAAACCGCTGCATTTAAGCAATTGAGTCGGCTTGTTAAGCTTTCGGTGTATCCCTATACTGCTTTTTTCCTCTTCTTTCATGCCGATACTGCACTTAGACGATTTGTTGAATCTCAACTGCTCAATGCTCCATCAATACACCCACAAGAATACTAAGGCCTACACTCTGCTATAACATAATTTAAGCAGCGCTGATCGGAATCAGAGCTTTGCGCTCTGCTCGGCTTTCAGCATACACTCTTGCAAGTGGTGTATGTTCCATTATACATAAAGCAGGTTTTAGTTTGCGTAATTAGTTTGAATGCAGCTCAACCTTGGAAGATATGTAGTAGCGCTGAAGGAGCTGGACTACATCAACTCCAGTAAGTGCTTCGAAAATATTTTCTCCACGAGAAGCCCAAACAGAAATGAATGGAGAAAACATCAACGTCTTTAATCAAAGTGAGCTCCGGAATCTACACCCCGTTACTTACTTACTTACTTACGTACTTACTTTACTGGCATAGACACGGCTTACGCGATTATAGCCGATTCGTTTCTTCTTTTTGCCCATTGGTGCCAATTGGAAATATCAAGTACAGCCAGGTCCTTCTCTATCTGGCGTTTCCAACGGAGTGGAGGTCTGCCAGTTCCTCTAATTCCACCGGTGGGTACTGCATCGGAAACTTTCAAAGCCGTTGCACTCAATAAATATGAGCTTGGGACTATTAGACTACTGCAGCGTCTTCCGGGCAGAACTTTGTGCAATCATGGAAGCCGCCGTGGGGCTGCTCAAATCTACGGCAGCTGGACAATTGGTTACGATCAATCTGGTATCAGACCTCTACAGTGTAACAGTACCACATCAAAGGTGGCCATAAAATGTAGAAGAAATTTGAAGAAACTCTCGACTAAATGCAACACTGTTGTGGCCTTGGCGCCTGAACACTGCGACATCCCTGGCAATTGCATGACAGATGAATTAGTAAGAGAAGGAACCGCTCTGTCTACAACAAAACTTGCACACTATGCAGGCTTACCTTTGTTCTCTTCAAAGTATATGTTAAAACTGACCTTTGCCGAAGAGGAAAACTTAAGATGGTTGAAGGAGACTACGTGCAACGTGACCGGACAGCTGTGGCCGAGATTGAGTGCCAAAAAACCAAAACATGTTATCCTTCCAGGCCTGTTCTTCATTAGCATGACGACAGGCATAATAGCAGGTCACTGATTAATGGCAGATTCATGGGAAAAGAATGCCTCAGCTGTAGGAACACAGAAGCGAAGGAGTCTAGTGAACACTACCTTGGCTTAATACCTGCGCGACACAAAATCCTCGGGTAACACTTCTTCAACAGTCTCACTGAGTTGAAATTTGAGAAATTTGGAAATCTCGTTACCTTTATTGGACACACGAAATAGTTCGATGAAGAAGTTGAAGATATGAGCTTCATAATGGTATTACAACGGACCTATTGGTCTTTTACTTCCCTCCTAATATATTCTCATACATTTGTACTTGAAAATTTGGCACTCTTAGTAATGCCCATAATCTTTACTTGGCAGAAGACCGAGGAGGTAGTTTTCGCTCATTCTTCTCGGCTGGTTTGCAGCTGGAAGAAAGTTATTTTTCTCAGTCAAAATACAGCCCGAGTTCTGTTATAACTTTCCGTATGCTGTAATGTCCCTAAGTGTGGGAACTGTACCCGTTCGCCAAGTACTTTTAGTCGGCAAGTTTCAAAACTCTCTTATAAACTGCTTGGCCTGATAAGGAGGATGAGTAACAGGACTTTTTTTAGGTAGTTTACATAACGCCTGATATATAAAGCTTTCAATGTACCCGAAGCACCTAATAAGATCTATAGTGCAGTTTATAGCATTCAAGTTAGCGGGTTCCTCTATGATTGTGGCTTCCGTTGACATCGTAGAGCGTAGACGTTGAGGTTTCGCTCATAAGCTCTACCATTTTCACTAATTAAAAACGGTTTGGAATAATTTCACTCCTTCTCGTATAATGGATCCCTCATTTCGCACATTTCTTTTAGGCTCGAGTGGGATGTTTTTGTTCGTTACTAATTTCAAGGAAGTTTACCAGATCTTAAGAATGCCGAGTTGTCTATAAAAGCCAAAAAATTCGCTAAACTGATTTGGTTTCCTGAAGTTTACTCCGATGCTTCAAATATGATGGAAATTCGATGGAAGAAGAGATATTGTTGTAAGTTCCAGTGAAGTAGATCTGCTCAGGAAATTGTCTTTAAAGTGTGACGACGTTCAAGCTACTCGTTTATTCTCTCAAACTCAATTTTGTTTTACTTTAGAATCCTTTTTAATTGTACTTCATTATTCGAGCAGATTTTTTATGATTTTCTATTGCTTATTTCTGAACATTTTCTATCACTAAAATATTTACTTCATTTTTTTTTTTGCATACATACACGTATTATGGGCTTCTCTTAGGCCTTCACATTCCACAATCGGTACTGAAATTCGTCACACCCATACTTATTGATTTCCCATAAATCACATTTATGCCAACTCGCCAATGATATTGAACTTTACTTCAATGAAATTGCATTATTCTTGATCCTAAGTTGAGATTGTAAATAAATGATTTGTTTGTATATGAAGAACCGCAGACATTTTTTTTTTTTTTTGGAAAATTTGCAATTTTAATTCTCTGTTTTATGCCTCAGCCAGTATTATGCCCTTGCACTTGCATAAATGCGGTGGAACAATAAAACGAAGACCAAGCCTCTACTAGCTTAACCACAACGAAAAAGGCAAAGCAAGGTAGCCACCAGCTCTACACTGAAGTCATAAGAATGAAGCGGCTGAAGGTATCAAAGTCACGAAGCAGCAATTTATAGGCGTGAATAAAGAATCTTCAATGGAACTAAATAAAGAGAAACATTTAAGAAAAATATATTTGTATACGCATTATTACATAATAATTCTAGATAAGAAGCACCAGGGTTGAAACAAAAATAATAATAAAATAAATAAAAATAAAAATTTGTAATTGTTTATATGCTTGATTAATTTTAAACGATGTCATTATTGTGTCAGGTTGCCATTCATTGCTTTTAGGCTCATTCGAGCTCATATGAGCGCAGGAACAATAAGAAAGCAATCAAAAAGCAATAACAATGACGGAATGTAAAATTTAGGCAGTTGGAAGGAAACTGCTATAATTGTATGTAATTATACACTTGTATGTATGTTAAGGTTAAAGCCGGTTGTTGTTGTTCCAACTCAAATATTTAGGTCAAATTGGAGCCGCTTTATATAAATAAAAACCTAAAGAAATAAAATAAAGTAAAATAAAATAAGAATGGATAGAATAAATTAAAAAAAAAAAATAGAATAGAATAAATTAAAATAAAATAAAATATAATACAATTAAAATAAAGTAAAATACAATAATATAAAATAAAACAAAATAATATAAAACAAAATAAAATAAAATAAAATAAAATAAAATAAAATAAAAAAAAATAAAATAATATAAAATAAAATAAAATAAAATAAATGTAATAAATTAAAATAAAATAAAAAAATTATTTTATTTTAATTGATTTTATTTCCACTACTCAATACACAACATTCATTCATTTAAATATAAACCAACATATATTTATACGTGCAATTGTTTGCATACTAATCACGTCTGCTGCCAAACAAGCTTTAAGAATCTGCATATGTTTGTATATGAAGGCTAACGAACTCTATCAACAACATATATTTATATAAGTTCACAGATATTCATTTGATTCGATCATTTGATTTTATTTGATATGAAATCAATATGTAATTAGCACGATGGCAACACCTCTGTATGTAGAAACACAGTGTCACATAAAGAACTTATAACAGATAAGCATCGTATTGATATAAGCTGCCTTGGCCGTGTATAAGATTTACCTACGTGTTAAGTAATGATGACGACAAATATATGTACATACAAACAAGATTATGAGAAAGACGTAAATAAAAGACATTAATGCCATTGACCGTTAGGCCTTGCATAGCACGCCCCTTTCAGGGGTAGACTCATACTAATAATTTGCGAGCATTTACCTTTTTATATTATATATTAAATTATTGCTGCGCTACCGGCTTTATATGTTTGTGTGCTTAATAATAAAAGGT